TGCCAGATGTCGTTTCAAAAGCTCCTAAGATATTATGTGAGGTGAGTAGGCATATTCAAAGTGGATTTAGTTTATCCATATTTTCAAAAAATGAAACTGATAAAGATAATGTTCAACTAGGGACGGTCGGACCCTAGATATTTTTCATACGAGAGTATACAGTTTTCGTAAATGTTATATGTTATAATACTCATGGAATTGTAAAAATATTTATTCTCCAAAAATGGTTGTGAATATTCGCAAATGTGCTCATTCAAATAGCTCAAAAACGGTCACATATTTTACACAAAAATTCGAGTCTAAATATTCAAGTCATTAAATTGTCAATGATAATAATAATTAAGCTATTCATCATCTCAATTTAAGAAGGAATAACTGCTTATGAATTTAAAGAAACAGTTGACTTGATTAATGATCTTCAACATGCACACATGATAATGTGACTTTTATAATTGGAAACATAGAAAGGGGGAGAGAGGAGTAAGGAATGAGGTCAGAACTCAAGGAGAGAGAAAACGCCTTCAATTGAGAATGATACTGCCCAACACACGGAAGCTTGAATAGTTGTATCATTCCATTACTTACGATATGTTGATGGTTGAAGTCCAAATCCAGAGAGAGAGGGGGGGAGTTGTTTGGTAAGGTCATAAGGGCACTCTAAACTTACCACACTTTACTACGAGTACTAGATGACTTGTCATGGCATGCTTAATACATTTTCAAGGCTGCTAAAATATGATTAAATATGCTGAAGGACGCGTGCATTATGCAAAATTAAGATAGCTCCATGGATGGCTACCATGGAAGATTCTCCCGATAATTTTTTTTTAATACACAGGTTTTAATAAAAAATCCATAGTTTCTATTACCTAATTTCCCTGATATTTTCTGTTTGTTCATTTTTTATTTCCTTGTCTCCATAAATTTTTATGTTTCTATTCACTTCAGGTATCTTTTATCCACTACTTGATTTGGAGCCGAATAATTTTCCATGTTCTACCACATTCGTTTCAGTACTGAGGAATTTTTGAATAGCCAATATCTTAATTTTTCAAGTAGATATTGCTGTATCTTTTTTCAGGTATCCTTCATTCATGAAGAATTCTCGTTTAAATTAGGAAATATATTGCTGCCCGCAGCTATGAAATATCCTCCATATTTTATATGTTGGCCAACAGAGAATGACACACTTTACACGATGCTAATGATAGGTATGCTTTAATGTTGATTTAATTATTCTTTCCCTAAATTCAAAATCCACTCATTATCAATAAAGTTGACTAGGAACTTTCTTGTTTAATCTTGAATTTCAATGCTAATTAAATATATCTTATGTGCAGATAAATATTTGAAAATTAAGCTGTGGTGTTATACTTCTTGGGAGGAAACACGCACACCATATAGGTCATTTTCAAATCAATCAGTATACTACAAATACTAAGTTGATCAGCTTGCTCACACACCTTTCTGAACTTTTATGACTGGTCAATAATTTGAACCTCTGGGAACCTTAGAACAGATTTCTTGCTTATGGCAAAATTCCCCCCCCCTCCCTCGCAAAACTGATGTGTAAAATATACGCCAGAAGTCCGGCCCGAATATCAGAGCCGAATGTTGTTTAGCAGCCGTATATTTTACCTATAAATGATTGAATTTGAAATGCTACGCCGTCATTCATGGGTAGACAGTAAATTTTTTTGATCCCTGTTACATCTCACCTTTTAGAAAAATATATTATTTTTCTGTCATTATTCCTTTGCAATTTTGGAACTAGGTATGGGCAAAGGGAACTGAGACCGACGGAACGTAACAAGACTTCGGGCTTAGCAATTGTATTTTATTTCACTCGTTTTATCAAGTTATGCGATTTTAAGCCCAACAATGCCAATAAGAAAGTATATTTTCGTCTTAGAGTGTTGAAATGAATTTAATTTTTATGAATATACCAAAAGAGCCGTATGCAAAAACGACATTTTTCGCCCCCCCACTAAAACTTATTCAAACTTCGTCTATCAGTTACTAATACTTAAGCGCTTCTTTCCCCAAATTTTCAGGCCCCCAAAAAATTTTGGGGGGGCGCTACGGGGGGTGGAAGTCATGGAAATAAGATTGTTTTTGGAGACTTTAACGCCAGGTTAGGAAAAAGTCAGTGGACAGTACGCGACCAAATAAGGATTGGATATAACCATTCGTGCTTAATGAGTGTCCGTAAATTGCATATTATCTCTATAAAATATTTCTATAGGTTAATAGAATGCAGGTTAATCGAAATTTATATATAACATTTATTTTATCACTCAACGGATATCGAGAAATTGCAAGCGAGCTTTGTTGGATTTAACAGCACATTTTTTCCTTCGTACTCGTCAGTGTTTTGATTTTTCGTTTTACCTCACAGATCCAGACATGCCATCTCGACGTGAGCCTTCTCTTCGGGAATGGAACCACTGGCTCATTGGCAACATGGTCGGCCCTGACCTATCTACCGGTGACACAATCGCTCAGTATATTTCACCTGAACCGCTTAAAGACACAGGTAAAGTATTTTTGAGAAAAACGTTAGATCCGGAAAAAATCATTTGTTGTCATAGGCACACAGTTTCCATTAATTCCTTTTGATCGAAAAAGGTTTCCACTGAGAGGCTATTTTATCTTCGACGAAACTCTCGTTTTCCTTTCTTTTATGGTTTAGTCGATCGGCATTCTTGGAGTGTGCTTGTGAGTATGTTCCGTGTACTATAAAACAAAACCACGTAATTTCATTCAGCCTTTTTTCAATACATTAGGCTTTATCTGCCAAAAGAGTAGCAACTCTGTTCAAAGCAGTTTCTTGAAAATCTGAACTTTCTAAGATGCTGCACACTGCAAAACTCCCTTTATTTTGGAGCCTTCGATTTTGATAATCATTACAAATAGCATCATACAACAGATACGGCAAAATGCAACCATTAAATTATAGCTTTTCTAATGTCTACTTTTAATGTAAATCATTTCAAGTTTTTTTTTTTTTTTTAAAGTTTTTTTTTTTTTTTTAAGCGCAAGTCATTTAGATTTTAGATATTACAAAACTGGATTAATTATCTGAGATAAAATAAATCAAAATTATCTGAATGAATGATCTAAATAGAATAATCCTATAGTCAAACTCCCTCTCACTTTAGGAAGTGTTTACATTCATTACAATTTAACCGAGATTTAATTAAGTCGAAATAGAAATTCTGGCTCCATTTTGGAAATTCTATAAAAAACTGGAAAATTAAGGGGACAATATCTTTAAGGTTGTTTTTTTCTTCCTTTTCATGGGGAATTTTTAATTGAGGTGCGCTTCCTCTGTCGACAGGCTACCATCGAATCACTTTCCTTGTTTTTAAGCAGCCTAAGCACATTAATTTTACTGAGCCACTGCTGGAATTTGAGTAAGTGATAACCACTAAAGTTTTTATCCTTTTTGTTTTCATCTCAGATACGAGTCGGATGTCTTATACAAATATTTTGAGGCGCTGAAATGACAAAGCTTAGTTATTGTAAGAAACCGAAGTGCAACCACTCATTTTGTACTTTCATTTTGTATTTTCTTGTACTTTCATTTTGTACTTTCAGGGGTACTGATTTATTTGTATGCATATTTATAAACGCTGGTCCTTTTGCCTCAATTTTTCTATTAATCAGTTTGAAACATCCGGATTCATTTTCATACAATTTTAGATTTTAAAGAAAACCCATAGCCCTGTAGTTTGAATAAATATCATTGCATAAAACACATTTTGAAGAAGAAAAATATAATGATAGAAATGAATTCAATGAATTGGATCTTGCTCTACGTTAACATCGAGGTAATATATGCCGTCATTTATTTAAATTTGGTGTACTTTTCATCACCATTTCCATTACACACTGAACAGAAACGTAATCTTTTTAATTTATATTGCTTGCTCTTTATTGAAGTTATTTTTTCTTGAAATTTTTGTGGTTGAATTTATTTGCGTATTTTTTTATAGTCGTAATGATACGCGGAGGACTCATTTCTCTTCGCGAAAGTTTGCCGAAAAGTACGAGTTGGGAGATCCAATCGCAATCAACTTTTGTTTGACTGCCTTCAACCAGACCGCCATTGAAGGATTCGATGATATCCGCGAAAGCACTACCCCTAAGGATCAATTAATTGAAAGCTAATGATAAAAAAGTAACTACATTTACGTTGTATTTCTGGATAATTTTTTTTACTTTTGAAAATAATTGTGATTGTCAGTTATTTTTTGGTCGGTACATCTTATTTTTGAGCAATAATACTTTTCCTCTAGAATAAAATAATATTCAAACTGACCGAATCTTAACATTAGCATGAATTCAAGTCTGAAAAATGTAACTACAATTGCCTCATTAAAAGAAGGTTGCGATTTTCATCGAGTTGCTTACTTACTTATTTTAAGCATAATTAATTACGCAGACATGTAAGTCATGGTGCGGGAATTTTGACTAAATTTATTAGAAATATTCGTTCTGAATCATGGCGTCTTATTCAAATTGTCTTCTACTTGAAGTAGAGATTCTTTGCCTAGACGAGATGTGCATTGCTCAGTTTGTTAACAGTATACATTAGCGCTCTGTTTTTGCATCCGTGCGTGTATTCAAAAGTGAATCAAAACTTGAATCATACATTTGTGTGATGATGTTTTTTAAAAAAGTGATGTTCAGCTGCCCAATGCTTGTCGGTTGGTACATTTTTAAACCTGCCAATTGGTATTAAAATGTTGAAGTGCATGACGTCTAAACTTAGGCAGTCTCGTTGCGGTAAATCTCATCTATGTAAACATCTTTGATTACAAGTACATATGTTCAATTTGAACAAGATACCATGAATATTTCTGAAATTTTTAGGATTCATTTCTTACTTTTAATGTATCATATTAATATTTATCAATATTTTATAAGACGGAGGTAATTCAAAATTAGAACTGGAGGAGAGTCAAAGCTTGAGTTCGATAGCTGAAAACAATAAATTTCTAATTTCAAAAATTATTCATTTACGCTTTGTTTTTTTATTTCTTTTCCTCTCCTTTATGTTCCTTATCACTATGATCTGCGACGAAATCCTCATCAATACCGGCCATTGGGTGCTCGTCGTAATATGGCTTCCACTCAGCCTCAAAGAAATTTACGGCAATCGGTTTGTCAAGATTGTATTTCTCAACAAATTTCTTGGTTGAGAAGTGCTGGCGGCGTGGATCATTAGGACTGGAAAATAAAGATTAATTGGGAAAATTACCATTTTAGAATTTTTATGAAAAAAATGTAATTTACACTTGCCAAAAAATAATCCAAAATCAAATGGAAAATTAATATTATGGATATCAATCAGATAAAGATTCGTTCGTTATTCCTGTCAACTAGCAGTGCATTTGAATAATTTGTCTTTTACAACTATGTGTCATTGAAGCATATATCCCTAGCGCCAATAATAGAAAAATATCAAAAGTAGGTAACCCCTCTTAATTACTTTGAAAAGTAAATGGTCTAATTTCGGTGAAAACTCCGTAGAGACTCATAATAACGTGCTTGTTGAAAAGAAAATTACTCACTCTTCAGGAAGACAAGGCTCGTCAAATTTCAACTTCTTTCCCTCTGGATGTTTGTATGCTTGATAGACGAATCGATGAAAACCTAAAAGTATGAAAAGGTATGTGTAGAATATATTTTATACAAGAATTATTGGCTACACCTACATTTTTGGATGCATAAAAAAGGTGATATTTGATACATAATTTTTTGCTTGATTAGATAGATGGTAAATTTTGTTAATTTTATTTTTTGGCTCAAACTCAGTTTCGGACCATAGAACGGTGGTGTTGATGCAACCAAACCTGCAAGGTGTTCAGGTATCTCGGCATGTGGAAATCAGAGAGATGTTTTGCAGGACCCATACTACTCTTTGATCCGTTCGTATGGTTTCGTTGATTTGTTTTAGATTCGAATGCCATTAAAAATTAGTGTGATAAAGATTTGAGAGAAACAAACGCATCTATTTTCTTTAGAATAAAATAATAATAAAACATACTTGTTGCATTCTAAGACTTGTTTTCAGGTTTTATTTGTGGGTATCTCCTCTTCAATGGGCTTTTGTTGCGTATGCGATGTTTAGAGTGACTTGAGTAGCAGTGATCGCGATAAGTTGCTATTTGACCGGAGAACGTATCGCGATTTTATTGACGCCAATTTATCGCGATATTATCGAACAAAAAGTCGTGATAAATTGAAGTAGAATCTCGATTTTATCGAATGCAATTTTATCTAGTTACAATTGCGACAAGATCGAGGAGAATCGCTCAAATGCTGATGATCCTAGCGTTCCTTATCCGCGAATAATCGGTTGAAGGACATTTCGACAACAATTTTTTGTCCGTACCCCTGTTTCTTCTAGTAGTTCATGTCCACGCGTTTTTTCGGCAGGGAAGTTCGTGCCGTAGTACCTTGATTTATTTTGCGAGGAAAGCTTCGTACTCTCAAAGGATGCCTATCATTCTTAAAATGTTGGAGCGCCTTCGATTTCGTTTGATACCGTCTAACACCTCTGTTGTGAAATAGTTGCTTGAGGCGCCGCGCCGTGGCCCGCTGCGGCGAGGCGCGGCTGACCAACTCCCAACGCACATTGACGCCCACAAACCTAAGGGGATACTTCAAGCATTGCGCAATGCGTGAAGTATCCCCTTAGGTTTGTAGGTGTTAGTGCGCGTCTCGCGCCGCGCCGGTAGTACGCCGCGCACCGCTCCGCGCTCTGTGTGTAGCTGTGATATTTAACATCGCGGAGTCAGTGTTTTTTTAGCTCATGATTTTGAAATTTTTGCACATTCTGCATGGATTTTCCTCATTTAAATTGATGAAAGAAAATATGTATTAAAGGAAAATATAAAATGTGTTCTGTAAATATTAAGGTGGTTCCGTGTCAAAATGATTCCCAAAGCGCTTTAATTTTTTCTTTTATATTTTGTGCATTTACTGTGCTGCAGCGTGGAGTACGCGCGACCAAACGCTCAAAACCAGACGTATTTGATTCTAAAAGATCGATGTACGTACGGGTTAAAACTAATGATTGCGTGCTTATTGGTTTTTTCCCCTTTTTTATTCATTTTTGTAAAGTTTCTTTCAACACAACTCTTATTTTACGTGTGGGCGTAAACTACTGGACAAAACAGGTGCGCAGACAAAAAATCGTTGACGGGATGTCCTGAAACCTAATAATCCTAAAAAAATCGCAACTTTACCTCTGAATTTCGTGATTTTTCTGTTGAAAAATGCTACCTGGGGAGGCGGGGTTGCAAATCGCCGTTTGCCCCTGAATAAAATTTCCTTGCCCCTCAGTGGCGAGGTGTGAATGATCGATTATCGATATTTCCTCATTTAAACCTATGGTAAAAAATCGATTATGAAGGTGGTTGTTGCGAACACCTTTATTATTGATATTTTTCTATGGGTTTAAATGGCAGATAAATCGATATATCGCAAAACACGGCACGCCACTGTGGCACTTACCAGATCCGTTGACTGGATTTGGAGCCACGTAACTAGCCAATGATTCTCCCTTCAGTTCGCAAAGCCGCAAATCGGTTCCGTTTAAATTGACCCGCATCCAATGAATGTACTCCCTTTGGATTGGATTGGATCTTGAGGGCACATCCAGATCTAAGTTTTAAGAAAAGTGAAACAATCGTGGTAACAGACACGCAGGAAAAAATCAGAGGTGATGAAAGTGTAACGTCCATCCCTGGAATTTGTATGCCGTTGCATTTAATGGAAATTACAGAGGGTAGGGCCACAATCTGGACGTACTTCCATCAAACGGAACTATGTGCATTATGACGTGAGCCCTGTTATGCATATATGCTTATGAGTCTCAGGGTTCATGTCTTAATGAACATAGTTCCGTTTGACAGAAATACGTCCAACTGAGAGTAAGAAACAACACACAACCACCATATACAATTTTTTTGTTAAGGTGCCTTTTCCGTTGGTAGCTTTAGATGGATGGATACCTTCTTAAAAATACGGACATTAAGAAGGATATTAAACAATGTGCATAGAGGATTATTGCACCATGTGTTATTTTCCAACCTGACACAGTTTTTTTGCTTTTTAAATATGCCGAATAACGAAAGCAAAACAAAATTGGGTTATTAAATTTCGAAGAATCAGTTCGAATTGAATGCATTGCGAATATCTTTCGTGGGAGCTTTGGAGATCAAATGTCGTCAGTTTTCCCCTGCATGCTTCCATTACAGTTATTTTCTGTCTTATGGTATTGATAGGGGTGATGTAGGGGTGATAAACATATTAAAATTAAATTTAATTTAATTAAATTAATTGAGGGGTTTGTAATTCATTACATCGACTCGTTGTACGCATGATTGTTCGTGGTTTATGAGCATCTTAACATCACAAGCCTTCGCTCGCTCCGACTTGAATTACGACTTCTATCCTATGACATTTTAAATATCTATGGCCAAAGGGCAAAATCACGTATCTCCGTTTACGACATTCCAGACTTCCTGTCAATTTTTACTTTGAAAAAAACAACTAACGTAATTTTCTAAAAAAAACTTCCTTAATTCTTCTACTCTGATGCTTTATTCTGTGTGAATTTCAAGCTCCAGAGTTGGCTTGTTTCCGTTCAAAAAAAAAAAAAAAAAAAAAAAAAATAGAATAGAACCGGAAATTCCAAAAACCGCACCGGAGGTACGGGGTTTCCAAATTTGGCCTTTGATATATTAGAGTTCCTGAACCTCATGGATGACGAAGCATCTTCGGTAAATTCGAAAAGTTAAGATTACTAATTTTTATTTGTAACGAAGATAGGGTTTATTACTTAAGCGCGGCCTCTGTGCTACAGCATTTCACCAGTTTTTTTTACATATAATCATTTGTAAACAAACCTAAGATTTATACTTCATTATATACATCTTTTTCTTTCCTTTTTTCATAATTTAACTTATGCACCACTGAAGTAAATACTAACCAGTGAATAATAAGGAGTAAAACTGATCTTTTTCTGCATCAAACCTTACATAATATGGCTTTTCTTTAACTTCTCTAGGAATAATTTCTTCCCCTAGATCCAATGAAGTACCTCCGACGTATTTCACCTTTGACATCAATTTTTGATTATCAGAGCCAAGCGATTTTACACACAAAACTGAAAAAAATAATCTGTCAAAACACCCACCATTTCTGATTTTGAATAAAAAGAAGAAGAAAAATCCAACATAAATATGTTGGAAGAGCGTGCCGAATAACTGAAACGTTGGGACACATACTTACTATTTTCATGTCATTGCTATCTGTATCAATCGGTACTTTTTGCTAAATTTGGGAGAAAATATTCATTCATGAACGTTAAATGTAAGTTAATTTTAAAGACTCCGTCCAATTATCTTCATTTTAACTAATATGCGGCATTTGCGCACGACCGCGATTTGCGGCGAACTGCCTCGCATTAGCTTAAAATCAAGATATTTGGACGGAATTTTAGTGCGTTTTTATCATGATCTCGTGCTGGACCTAAATTTTCATCGATTTTACGGCCGAATCGGCTGCCTAAAATAACAAGCCATTTTTGGAGGTTTCTATGAGAAATTCCTTCAATTATCGGCTCTCCGAAAATTACCATATGGCTAAAATTGGTAGTATAGGTGTTCGAGTGCTTGAAATAATCGTATTTAAGAAACTCAGCTGATGAGGAACTGGCCTAAGAACTCAGACCATATCCAGGCATTATGATTAAATTAGCATTGCTAAATTACTTTTTCCTATTTTAAAAAAATATGTAAAAAATAATATAGATAAATAAAAAAATACTTACCCCTATTGTTGTATTTGGAGAGACATCTAGAAGGTCTGGAATAATCCTGTAAGCCATTAATTTGCCATCGATTTCAATGGGGAGTCTCTCTATTTGATGAGATAGTACAATTAACTCAAGAATAGAAACTAAAATAATGACGTTTACACGGAATATGCTAATATACCCATACATCCTCTTTGTCAAAATCATCACTACGCAATTTAGTAGTTTAAGAGAACTATCATCAAAATGAGAACAAAAAGTTAAGAGAAAAATTAGAATGAATATAGTTTCGAGTATGCATGTAAAACTTCCTTAGCTTAGAAGGGAGAGGAGAAATGCACGCGCATCCGTTGGCTCGCATATTTGCGTCATCACTGAAAAGATCTAGCCTAACCAGACTCACAATTATACGAAAATATATCCTTTATTTCTTCACTTGGTCCATGAGTGAAATTTAAGAATTAAATGAAAATTTGACATCACGTAATCAATTCTGAGCTTACGTCACGAGCTCAAGAGTATAATCGGTGATTTTATTGAATATGTAATATTATCTCAATCACAGTCACTGCATGGGAGATTGACATGAACTCTATAGTCAATCAAAACCCGGAATTTTCACTTTTTACACAATGCCTTAGAGTGCAGAATTTTATTTGAGTATACAGAAATTCCTTAAAATTTTGTAAAGTCTCTTTCCCTTCAACAGTTTTATCTAGTTTGCTTTACGCTGGAGCTTGCCCTCGCTTCGGCCGCAGGTTCGAAAATCAAACACAAAATCAGAAACAGCAGGATCCAGAACAGTTTGAGGAGTCTCCATACCTCTAACCACCCTACATTCATATTACAAGTGCAAGTATGAGGATATTAAGGAAAACTGAGCGATATTGCAACGAAATAAACTGTATCACTCAACTTCCTACAACCTAGAAGCATTTAATCGAAGAGAAACTCTCAGATTTGTCTTCTATTTTCTTATACGTCTACATGTGAAGTTGCACTTATGTCACGAAATCGCTGGTCCAAATTCGGCTAGTCAAAGGTTTTGGCATCTTCCTACGGCAGGGACCCTGAATTTATTGAAACTTGCTCAAATGAACGCTCAGGTCCAGTGCCTGAGCAAGTTAATTTCAGGACGCGCCGCTTACGGCCAGCCGCAGACGCAACGAAATGTGCTCAATTTAGATGTGTGCGAATTGAGGAGCAAGTAAGGCCATGGGACTAGGTGGCTGCACAGAGAGCGAGCCACATTTCGGCCGCGGCTAGAAATAAACTCGCTGAGCAGGTTTCCCCGACGCAGAAACTTGCTCTACGGCGACTCGTCACTAAATGGTTATTTAATGCGCCTGAATGGCAACACCGTAAATTTTCGCAACACTTCTGTTGTGAAATAGTTGCTTGAAGCGCCGCGTGGTACGCTGCGGCACGGCGCGGCGGGCGGGCGGCCAACGCCTACAAACCTAAGTGGATACTTCAAGCATTGCGCAATGCGTGAAGTATCACCTTAGGTCTGTAGGGGCCTGTGCGCGTTACCCGCTGGTAGCACGCTGCTTCTGTTTGGTTCTATTATTTAAACTCTCGGAGTCAGCATTTTTCAGCTCACGATTTTGAAATTTTTGCACACCGTGCATGGATTAATCTCATTTAATTTGATGGAAAAAAAACATGTAATAGAGAAAAACATAATGTGTTTTGTAACTATTTAGGTGGTTCCGTGTTAAATTTAATGATTTCCAAAGTACTTAAATATTTTCTTTTATATTCTGTGCTGTTAATGTGCTGCAACATGGTATATGCGTGACCAAATTCTCAAAATTTGACAAACTTGACTCTAAAAGATCGATGTACAAATGGGCTAAAACCAAAGATTGCGTGTCTCTTGGTTTATTTTCCTCTTTTATTTATTGTTGTATAGTTTCTTTCAACACATACTACGGCTCATTGGGATTGATATCGATGCCATTGCTTTGAAAAGGGTTCAGAAATATTTGACAAGTTTTAAAAATGTTGTTTGAATTAAGTACTATTTTCATTTAAAAAAGGAAAAAAAGAAGAGGAAAAAAGAAAAAAAGGGTATCTATATAAGGTCTATTTTGTGTTGAAAATGTTTAGGATAGAAATAAAACCAAATATTCACCAATGACAATTTGAAAGGATAAATCAAAAGAAGAAAGTAACATTTCATTTAAAAAATGAATTACCGTAACAACACATCAATCCCTCTCAATTTGCTCATTTCCATATTGGCAATATAATTTTACATTCGGACTAAAATATAACACTTGGACCACGTCACTGCTGCTTATTTTACAAGTGAACGTAAACTACTACTACTACTACGGTAAACTCGCTCCAAGAACTTCAAAAGAAATCATATTTTATTTCGATTATATTTCAGTAAAAATAAAACTGATTATGAATTTCCTTTTTAGCTAAGCTAATAATGTGATCGCTTCTCACTCCCTATTTCTTCTTTGTCCATAGCTTTGTCTATCAATTTCAATAATCGACCAGCAGGCCTTCACCGATCCCTCTGCGATTACAGTCAGGGCCCAAAAGCGCAGCAAAATTATGGTTTCAAATCATCCGTTGTTGTTACCTACACTGAAAAACAATTCTCGGCATTTTTACGAACGTCCGTTGGTACCTTTACCATCTCACTTTGGACGACAACCGACGACTGCAGTTTTGCGCAATGCGTGAAGCATTCTTGCGGTCTGGGAGGCGCTGGTAAGCGTTTGGTGCCGACCGCACTGTGTTTGCGCGATTTAGCTCGCGATCAGCGTTTTTCTAGTTGTTATTACTATTCAGTTTTTGCACACGCTGCGTGGATTACAGTCATTTCATAGGAGAGTTACATAAAATGTAGGTAATTTTCCTCTGTTTTTTAACGAGCGGTTAGCAGCATACCTGCACCTCTTGTGAAACTGCATTGATTTGTCAGCAGCTGACAACTCGTACCCAACGGCTGTTGTCATTGTTTACGCTCTTAAGAAGGCAGATTCCTACTTCCTTGGTATGAACCTGGACTTTGACCCAGGATCCAGGTCGACGGCCGCTCACTACAGAGAGAAGTTGCTCTATCGCCACGCTTGTTACCTCGCACAGTGGACCGAGAGAAGTCGGACATGAAAGTTTTGACTAAAACTGCAAATTTTGATGTTTATTTTGTCACATTTTAAACATAAAGGGGTGCTCTCAGGGTAAATTTGCATGAGAAAACCAATGGAACCACTTTTAGAACCTCAATGTTTTGTATTAAAGGAGTTATAAGCGTTTAAAGTTTCCAAACTTTGTCTGACCTCTCCTATTGACTCAATCCACTGTGCGCCGGGAAGGAATAATTATATTTCAGATATGAAATTCAAGGGACCAACCGATTTTCTCGCTATAGAAAGGTTCTCATTATAACGATTGTCGTTGCATAGAGAGACCACTGTATATAATATTTAATTTTATTTTTAATCAAATATTCACAATTAATTAGTAGAAAAGATGAAGCTCAAAGAATACAGAACAAGGAGGCATGGAGCACCATGTGGACATTTGATACTTTATTATTTTGATCATTTTCGCATTTTGGTTGCAGTTGGATTCATAATGTCTTATCTTACAAATTAAATGTATGCACAGTACTGTAATATCCAGAATTTGAAGAGTTTCTTTAATGCGCATGTAAAATATCTTAGAAGATTAAACAGTCCGAAACATGGCATTAGAATCATTTGGTCATCTCCATGTGGAATATGTAAAGTCCCCGACTAGCCGTGTGTTTCATTGTCGAAATGATCACTCATTCACTTATAACTTTATCTCATATCACATTCACTTGCTTAAGTCTTTTTTAGTACTACAAAGCTCTGGGAATTAGATCAAGTGTTCGATTTAGATGCGGCTCTGCATGGGAAAACTGATGATCTGTGCATTCTGACGACAGGAAGTTCATTGCATGTAGTTTCAGGTCATATTTTTTCCAAAATGTTTGAAGTGAAAAATTAGCACGGTGTTCATCCAAATACCTGAGGAGCAGAGGTAAAAGTTATTAAAACATGACGTCAGATACAAGTTTTTGTTAAATTTTTCATCCAGTTGCTGTGTCCTCGCGTCACATTATATAATCCAACTTTTCATCTGACAAAAGAGGAGGAAAAGTTATTCGAAAAGTGTTGCGCACTTGATTTCCGCATTCAACGATGAAAATATTATACCTACATTCATGAACGTCAGTAGTTTGTGACAGGTGAAAAGCTATGATTTTCCTTCCTTTTCGTGTGATACCACATCACATACATACTCCGGAGTCCGAATATTTGCGCGTATGATTTCCTATTTCCGCATTTAACGATGCGAGTGCAAGCTTAATGCCCACACTCATTAAGTCAGTAATTTGGTTAGGTGAAAAGTTATGATTTTCCTTCAGTTTCGCGTGATACTACATCTTATACCTACTCGGTAGTTCGAATAGTTGCACGCTTAATTTCCGTATTCAACGATGCGAGCATAATTCCTGCATTAATTAACGCCAGAGACTGAGACAAGTTAAGGAATTCCAAATAAGTTTTAACAGAAATGTTAACTATAAATACCCAGAATTTATTTAAAAACATAATGCCAGCTATACTTATCTAATTACACAGTCCTAATAATTTGTTTCAGTAGCTTAATTTTAGAACATTAATTTTAATTCCCATCCATTACAACATTTACAACATTAATTTTAATTTTTCTTCATATCTGCGTGATACTGCATCACACACCTACTCAAGAGTTCGAATAATTACGCGCTTGCTTTTTTAATTCAGCAATGCAAGCATAATGCCTACATTCAAAGACGTCAGTAATTCTACCTTGAGATGAGACAATTGAAAAGCTATGATTTTCCTTCATTTTCGCGTGACACCACATCATATACCTACTCCGTGGTTCGAACAGTTTAGGACAGTTGCGCGCTTAATTTCCGCATTTGCAATGAGATCTTAAACGCCTTCTCTCATAAACTTCGGTAATTTTAGACAAGTAAAAAACTACGATTTCCCTTCATTTTTGTATGATAGCACATCACAATACCTACTCCGGGAAGAGTAGGTAATAAACTAACTGTTTAGCTTCAAATTTGAACTGAGTATTCCGTCAATAGAGGTGATAAATCAAGAAAAAATGAACCATATACTTCCGAGTTGAATTTTCAGTCCAAAACAGTTTCAGTATGAAAGTTGACCGCATAATAGATACCCAGATCAGCAGTGTTCCCAATGGCATTCTGTGCATTCTCATTAGGGAATCATCGCTTCAATCGCTTAAGAAATTCTAAAGTGAATTATTACTCATTCATTAGATCCATCTAATCATAAAACAGACCTAGCATCTAAATTGCCCAGTATTTTCACTGAATCTTTCAGCCACTATGCGCTATTCGCAGCGCAAAGACAATACTCCGAAACTAGAGTGCTGAGATGCTCGCGCCACCTATCGGTGAAGAGGGGAACTATCCGGAGCGACCTCGAGACCAACTCCCCCCGCTCGCTCCCCGCCGCCATCGCGTCGCCACTCTGTCTGGTGGCCCGCGAGCTCGGGTCCAGTCCCTATTATCCGCGCCGCGCGTCTTCGAGGAATTTGAGATAGCGCCTGGCGCTTAGCGAATTCCTCCGAACCTTTTTTCCTTCTTCCTCGTGACCCAGTTCTCCGAGTAAACAATGGACCACCCAAGTCGTTCTTCGTGAGTATTTACGCGCCCTGAAATCGCAGCGCTACACGCGTCCCTGACTCGAGCGGCACATCATTCCTGGGTAGTTTTTCACGGGGAATCCGAATTTCATGTCAGATTTATGATCCTGAGCCCCCAAAAATTTATGAACCTGTCCTTTTGAGGCAATACTTGTTTCATCACTAACATTAATTAGTAAGCATTAGGCGTCCAAGACTTCATGTTAATGAATCGAAGGGATAGAAGTAGAAACTAATGATCTCTGTTGTCGTGCATTTCCTCCTTTTTCCCCAAACACATGAAACTTGGCATCTTCGATCTGAGTGCAAATGCAGGACTGTACAGCGGGTTGGTTCAAATAACTTTTAACGTTTTTTAGACTGTTTGTTCTTACCGTAGACCCTGAACGACAACTTAAATTGAAGGAAAATGAAGTTTTAAAAATTCATATCCATTTTTTGCCGTCAAAACTCACTAGATCCCATCATATTCTTGATAAATTTTAAGAACATAGCCATCAAAAGTTGAGTTGCCCTTATATTTTGTGGTCTACGGTAAGCAGGGAAATAAGTCTAAAAAACGTTAAAAGTTATTTGAACCTACCTCAGCCACCCCCTCTCCCTCCAAGTGTGCTTTCAATATATCGACGGTGAAACTACCAAACCACGTATCTCGTTTGCGGTGTTTAAAAATCTACGCTCGCATTTTATTTTTTTGAAGTAGACCAAATCAATATAATCCCTTGAAATTTTCACAGAATTCTCTCCGCACGAAGAGGAAAAATCCCAGAAAGTTTCAAGACTGGACGTTCAGTAGTTTTTCATTTAAAAAATAAATGACAGGAAGTCTACGACGTCGCAAACCGAGATACGTGGTTTGGTAGTTTCACCGTCGATATGTACGTATTTAAATGTTTTTGACAAAACAAAAATTTTAAACCCTAAAATAAGTTTAAACAATTTTAGGGGATGGACCGGCAGTCTGCGGTCTTTGTTTAATTTTTTACGGAGAAAAAACCAAAACTACGGCTTGAAATTATCTCAGAGCATTCTTCACGAGAGAAGACAAATCACGGCAGTTTTTCTAGGTATGATGTTAAGTGGTTCCATTTAAAACATACGCATGACAAGAGGTCTGTAACGTAGCAGAAAGAGATACGCCGTCAATATGCGGAACTCCGGAAATGTATTTTAAACGGCTCTATTTACAATCAGTTTGTTTAGGTACGTAAGTTGCTCTCATGTAAGAACCAAGACTATACGTGGCACTGCGGAAGACGTAAAATGCTCATAAAGTACGGAGTACGTAAATACGTCATAAAGTGAAACACGCACGGAGTACGTCATAAGTAAAACCGTAGTTTACAATGTTCTCTTCTAACAAATAAAACGACAAAAAATTATGCGGTCAGTTTAGTTATGGTTAAAACCACCCATGAGCATTTTCCTAACGAAGAAGAATGGGGGGGGGGGGGGGGGGAGTTGCTTGTAGAAATTCTGGCATTGATTTTGGATTAAAAAAGACAAGATTTCATTGTGCTTAGCTAGTCGAAAAAACTGGCAGTTACATGATGAAATATAATTTATGTATTACGTTGTTGAAAGCGGAAACAATTTAACGCGCCTTAGCTTTCTTAATGGCAACATCCTGATGCAACTATTCGTACGCCCGGGTTGCAGGCGCTTTGAATTCCAAATGGACGAAATATTTATTCATTGAATCCAATGAATGTGAGTCTTGCTTGCATGCAATCGCGTTGAACATAAGAAACTCTAGAACTCGAGTGAGCCAGCGTTGCCAAATAGTGCGACTAGCGAATTAATCTTAACAATAATATTGTAAAAAAAGTTTTTTGTGATTACAATTCTTCAGGAGCGTTCCGAGTCCAAAGATTTACTGACCAAGTAAAATGCATCGTATTTAAACATCATGTAAGACGGATGGACAGTAATCAAATATTCGCTGATAGTTAATGTGAACGAGTAAGGGAACGAGAGACTATATTTTAGGCATCTGCTGAAAGGAGCTTTCATCTGACCATCTTGGTAAGATACAGGTCATAAGCTTTGCAACAGTACCTGCTGTTATTGCACGTTTCAATGCTATTTTTATGCAAGAAAAAAACACCAAGAAGGGTGGCCCGAGCTATGTGTGACAACGTGTTAAAACAGTCCTGGAGCCACACTATTTCGCGGGGAAAACAAGCACAAAAAGTTCAACATTTTTTACTCTAATACAAGTTTTTGAACTTGTGGCCTTGTTTTTCCTACTAAATAATGTGGATTCATCACTATTTCACCACCTATAGTTGAAATATAAGTATATACAGCTTATTTTAGCATTCTACATACTTCGGGAAAAAAATGCAATTGCGGTGAATACTTACAATGCAGGATATTTTAATTCGGTGAAGTGAATTTGACTTGGTTGTTTGAGAACAAAAAATAAATACCTATGTAAACCTGCAATTAATTTCAAAGTCTATTAGTACATTTCTTGAACCAAAAAAAGACAATTTTATTAGTAGACGTAGTATTAGGCCATTTTATACAGTTGCCTCAGCATAGAAAGGTTAATTCAGCGGGATGTTGTTTAGAAATTCATGTATCAATTGTGATTTTTATTTGAGGCAGAACGTTGATTAAAATTAAAAAAAAATATGTGGGAAAAACGAAGGGGTAACGTTGATTAATTAACTTCAGAAAAACCAATAATAGAAGACTCCGGCCTGGTGCGCCTTCATACCTTTCTAATTAGGCAAAAAGTGCCCCCTCACGTTGGAATGGTTTTCTAAATTGGCATTCCTAAGGTTTGATATTCAGGGTAAAACCTTGTTAATACAATTCAGATACTATCTCCACCATTTCAACGTATACAACTCCTAAATTTCAACACTATATGAGTGGTAAATGCTTTTTAAATACTTAAAAATGGTTTTTTACGTTAAAAACAATTCAAATTCATTTTTACACTTGTTCTTATGTCGATCATCAGATCAATCGATATTATTCAAATTGACAAATGTCGGTGAAATAATTTTTAACCAAAGAAACAAAACATTCGTACTTGATTTTTTTTTGGGGGGGAGGGGTGCAATATTATTCGGATATTTAGTCTTTGCAAAGCAAATCCCTAGTGGAAGTCAGCCTTGTGCAGGTCCGTGCGGCGGAAGGCTAGGTCCGTGCAAGTCCCCGTCACCTCGTGCAGCCATCTGCGAAAGATGGGATTCCCGAAATTATGCCTTTGTTTCGCTTCCCTCTGCACGGGCTCACGGGAGGTGACGGGGACTTGCACGGACCTAGCCCTCCGCCGCACGGACCTGCACAAGGCTGACTTCCACTAGGGATATCCTAGTTATGGATCCTCACACTTTGCTTTGTCTACAAAGGGGCACCTGACTGTCTTTTAAAACACCATTTTTTTTTTTCGAACATACCTGAGCCGTATAACGGATTTGGACCGATGTATTCTGCCCAAGTTTCTGCTTTAATCCAGGCCTCTCCTTTGATATTTAAAACTTGCCAGTGCAGATAACTGCGCATATACGGGTTTGATCGTGATGGATAGTCAATGTCTATACAACGGAAGAACCAATGACAAAATACAAATTTAAGTATACTTCAACAAGTAAATATGGATTTAAGCACAAATCAATCCGGCAAATTCATTAAGCTTCTTTGTTTCCCATAACAAGGGATATTTAATTATTGTCGAAACATTTTTGTCATCCGATATTTTTTTTTTTTTCATTTTAAAAAGTAAAATGAAAGTAAACTTGAAATAAAAAATTAAAAAAATTAACTTGTTTTTAAAGTCGTCAACCTCATTTCCTGTTCGGAAATAATAAAGATTTAAGTGATTAAGATAATTTTTCTCCATCTTTTCATTTTAAAAAAAATTGCGATTCTATAGCTAGATTCGTCTGCTTGAAACATACTAAGTAGCGCCTTAAATTTGATTATATTTTAGCACTCGGTTTGGATATTTTTCACGAAGCACCTCGTGTGAAATTAATGACATGTAGCATTTTGTTAACGTGTTTCATCCCCCCCCCTGTTCCATGCCATGTGTCCCCGTGTGTCCCTAGTCCAATTATGTCTCAAATATAAATAATTCTTCTTTCATCGCTCTTTTTAGTAAATGAATTAGTATACATACCTAGCATCAACAGAGTGTAAAAGTCTGTCTTGTTGTTCTCCCATGTCACATAATACGGCCTGAAAACCATGTGTTTGGGGTGAATTGTGTTCCCGTACCTTGCGACGTGCTCAAATAAAAATCTCACCTGCATAAATAAAATAAATTAAAAAGTTTTTTTTTTCGACAGGAAGACAAGAAAGTCATGCATAGAACGGTGCTCCACATTGTTACTTAGGATTTATTTGTTCACAACATTGTCAGAGTCCATTCTTGAAAGTGGAAAGAAAAATCACGATATACATTTTTTTTCAGTGTAGCGATCCTACAAGAACGCAAAATATACAAGAGCTAAACGATCGTTTGAACTGTTAATTTCAGTCAATCAGTTTTATTCGTCGCCTAAAATGCTCGATATTTCTCAATTTCTATGTTTTGAGAATGAATGGGTCTTTCAAAATTATTCTTCGATCTACATACATCAAGCCGCTTTTATAGCGCAGCCTTGCGCTCTGCGACGCCCAATCGCCATTGCCCTCCCAGAGACCATCAGGCAATTGGCACCTTCTGATCTCCTCCTCCACCCCTTGTCGCAAACCTTTCACAGGACGTCCACGCTGTCGCCTTCCGGGAGAGACCCAATCGAAAACCTGCTTGGGCAACCGATTGTCTGCCATCCTTTGCACATGTCCCTATACCAGACCAACTGCTTGGACCTGATATTGTGCACGATGTCACTCTCCACACCCATTTTCTCGCGTACTTTTACATTGCGGATACGCTCTCTTCTTGAGATGCCAGCAGGCCTCCGCCAAAAGTCCATCTCAGTTGCCCCTATAGCAAGTATTCAGTATATTCTTCGATCTACTGTTTAAAATCCGGAATCAGTTTTTGTTCTCAGCGCTAGTTTTTAGTAAACCTAAAGTAATTTTTCAACGTACAAATGTGTAACGGACTGCACAAAATAAAACGATTAAAAATGTAAAAAATTAAAATTTGATCACTCACTTTCACATGTAATAAAAATTAAAATCGTCCCACCAGTCTCGAGATACTGGCCTCTTCATCAATGATGCTGTTTAATTGTTAACAAGAGCTTCCCGATCAGTCGGTGATCGCTGATGATGAGGCCATTAAGATCTTATGACTGACGAATTTAATTTTAAATGTATGTTTAAGCGAGTGACCAAATTTCAAATATTTCAACGTTTGGTGGCAATTTTTTTAGATACCTAGCGTCGATGTTCACACTATTTCAAGATATTTTGGCGCATACTTGCATTGGATGAGGCACAGTATCATTTGCATCCAACAGATCGGGGATGATGCTGAAATTCTGGCAGTCCTTGCGGATCGATTCAGGGGATTTGACCTTTCTCGGTTCGAGGACGACCGGCGTTATAGAGAGTTTGCACGTGGTCGTTTCTGGTTCTGTTGACGGAGTTGGAGGATCTGTCAGCCGCAGTGGCGTCGCTGGCGGGCTCGTTGGCCTAGAGTAATGTAAAAATATTGTCATTACTGATCAGGAGAAAAGCTAGTCATGAAAATGATCCTATCATATTTCACCAATAGGGTGGTAATTTGTAAAACCATTGCTGTAAAATTCATTCCGTGAACTTTTTATGCATTCCCCAATCCCTCGCACGAAATTAATTAGGCAAAGTTTGAATTAAATATAAAAGGCTTGCCATTGAAAATCTGCAGGAGAAAGTTGCATCAATGGTGGTTTCTTTGGAAAATTGGATGTCTGCGGTGTTGAGTATGCACGAAATCTTGTCAATGCATGCACCTGTTGCAGGCAAGTAGCCATTTCCAACATATTTGTATAGTCATTTGCCTGGGCAGATAACAAACATTGCTGTTTGCCACTTTGCCTAGGCAGCTTAATTTTTGCCTCTGTCAGCTAGATGTCTACTTAAACAAGCATAGTTCACTCTGGTTTTCTCCTCATTTGCCGAGGCATGACCATATTTACCGGAAAATGCTTGCATCACACCCGAAAAGAAAAATCGGCCTCGTTGAGTTTCCTTATTATTATTGACAAAATCTCATCAATTTCTAGCGGTTCGATTCGCAATAAGGACGGTAAAATTTTCAGTTTCTGTTTTCTTTTTAAATAAAAGGAATGTTTATATTTGAAAAGACCCCCACCCAATCTTAAATAATCATAAAATCGTAGCGTATTTTAATTTTTCATATTAATAAATAAGTCACTTCATAGCACTCCTTGACGTTTTCTACGACGCCTTACCGCTATTGTTCCCCGTGGCGACAGGAGCAGTGCGACTCTGCGCCAGCCAATAGCGACGACGCGCGCCGCTCGGCGCTGCCGCTACTCTCTTATTGGCTCGCTCATCATCCAATTGCGACGACGCGCGCCGCTTCTCTCTTATTGGCTCGCTCATCATCCAATCATCATCGGACCACTTGATGGCGCCGAGCGGCATGCGGCAGCGCGGTGTCGCTATTGGCTAGCGCAGAGTTGCGCTGAACTTTTCGCCAGATAGCGCTGCACTTGTCGCCAGACCCCAATCAAACCATAAGCGAATTTTCGCGATCAAATATCATTCACCGTTGAATGATATTCGACGATTGTGCATTTTTTTTCAATGATATTCGACTTCTTCGTTGGTCTCACCAGAGACCGTTGAAATCCATCAATTTGAAATTTCGAATTCACCTCGGGACTTGAATTCGATTTTTGAATTGATGCAATCGATGTCAGCAACTTCATCTCTCACCAAAATTTGTGTTCTGTCATCTCTATCTGTTGTTGTGTTTTGTCAATTCAAGTCTGGTGTTTTCGCAATTCCTGTGTTTTAGTGTTTCGTGTTTTCTTATTTTCTTCTTAATTTCATTTAGGAAAAAAATCTGAGCTCTGATTGGCTCCTGACATCACCGATCATCGGCATCACTCAGCACTGATCAATTCGTTTGATGAATGACATTCGATCGCGAAAATTCGCTTCATGACCCTTCGGAGGTCGATCTCCTTGACATTTCTGCTCCAGTCCCATCCCTCCCTCTTCTCATTGGGCGCGCCAACAGCGTCTTCATCCGGGAGGAACCGTATCTAGGACCTCCTACAGCAGCTTTTCTGCTGCCATTTTCTGCACATGATCATATCGTATGGGTTATTAAAATTTTATACCAGCGGATCTGCGGTAGAAATCCATCTCTGATGTTTCTAAAACTTCCCGGGCTGATGTTTCATCGGTTATACTTCACATTCGTAGGTGGCTGCACTCTCGGCAATCGATTTTTCATTTTTTACCATTCCAATTTTCAATACCCTCGTTCAGACTCTTCCGTAATGGAGAATGTGTATTAAAAAAATGTATTTCTCCATCTGAAAATGCCTAATAAAGTAAGCTCGTAGTATTTTTCGTATTTTTTACCTTTTTTTCTGATGTGAGAAATTTTTCAAAAATAGAAGCAAAAGTGAAAACATACACCGCCATGTGAGGTCATCATGCGGAATACCCCATTTTAACACATGCGTTTTAGCAGATTAAGTTATTTTGCCGGATATCACTTCCGCAATAATTGTTCAATTTCATGAAATTCGCTAAATACAGGTAATTGTAAATTATAAATTGTTTTTGTGCAATGTGAGAATAAAGTTGAGGTTAAGCAGAGAGACAGCATTTAAATCACATCTAAAATAATATCTAGATGTTACAAAACCCCTGTCGCGCTCGCAAGACAGTTGGTGTAAATTGGAGAACCCAGCGCGCATGAAGATAATTGCAGGACTACATTTTTCAACAAGAAACCACGATTTCTAACCCATCCATAAAAGCATTCATCAGCACAGGGAAACTATTGGTGCAGACGTTGCTTCCAAAATGAGCCAGAAAAAGTAGTTCATCATTGCAAAACGTAGCCTATTTATGTGATTTTATATCTGAAAAATTAATGGGAGATAAAATAATTGGACCGCGTTAAACAGAAAGAAACCAAGTCACATCAGCTATCGCCAAATCTAATCGGGCGATACAATTTTTTACATGAAAACGGTTGTGCGGATTTTTGTGCAAATTTCAGTGAATTTTATCCATAATACAAAGCAAATTCCTTAAAATTTTCAAAGGAATCTGCACAGAAGTTCTCTCGTAAAAAAATGTAATTTACCTGTTAAATTTGGCAATAGCTGATATGGCTTGGTCCCTCTCTGTTTAACGCGGTCCAATTAAGTATGATTCAATCCTTCGTAATTTAAAATCATTTCAAAACCGGAATCATGAGACATTCTAAAGAATCACAATCCAATTTTTGCTAATCTACGAGATTTGTTCACCAACAGTACCTTGGTGATGTTGAAGGTGGGTCGGTGAGTCTTAGGGGTGTGTTCGACTCGGTGGTGGTAAATCTGGGGGTGGTTCTGCGGCGTCTCTTTGAAGGTGGTTGCGAGCTGGCCGCGGCATACCGAAGAATAGGATCTGGTAGCGTGGGATCTGTCGTCAGAATGGATGTGGTCTCGTCCACTGTTGTCTCCTTGCCGTTGACTCGAGCTTTCGCTGCAAATAGCGCGACGAGCAGCCAAAATATGATGCATGACCAGTTTCTACTATGTATCATCACTTGCTAGTGTAAACATCGACACCCCCATGGATCTGAAATTTGAAATGTAGAAAAAATATAAAGATTCTGAGATAGTGGCGCCCAGAGTGAGTCGGAGGGGGGCATTTGCTGATGCCCCACACTTAGCGCAAGGAATTTGCTTATTTTTAAGACATACGCTTTGAAAAGTATACTTACGTAAAGGACATAATTTGTGACAGACGAAGCACCTCGGTTTCAAAACTCCGCACAAAACACAAAGAAAGGTCACCGTCGTGTACCGAAGTTTTTCCTTCACAAATAAACAATATAACACTCCCTATTTATGCTACATCTTCACTATCCTGCATGCTTTCCAAGTTAAGTTCAATAATTAGAAAAAGTTTTGTCGACTCTTTTAATTTGAGGAGCTGTGTGACAAGACGATGGCTTTGAAAAACTCTTTTGAGAGATTTGAGACTTGATTTTATGTGCTCTCCAATAGGCGATCGTTTCATCATCGATAACATCTTTCGTACCTCTGCTCTAAACGGTTTATTGACCTCTTGATAACTGTTTCATTAGCGTGACGTATGTAATTGCGTGTGAGTCATTGAACGATAGTACATTTCATAGATCGTCGATAAACTCATCATTCATCAAAATTCGATTGAATCAGAAACAACGATTTGGACACTTCAAAATCTGATTAATAGAGATTCAATCACGCAGGCAAGCAGAGTTGAAGACTGCAGCTGCGAAATGTGGTTTTGTCTTTTAAAAAAACTAATTTTAAGAAGGGGTTTAACTGGAAAAAAACACACCTAATGTCAAATATTTCGTAAAATAATCAATTTTAGTATACAGATTGTTTGAAAAAGGGGTGAAACTGACACAAGAGACATTCCATCAATTTTTAAAATTACAACTAAGATACTCTGGGAAATTCTTAAAACTATGTCGTCTTTTGTTCGTTTCTTTTACATTCTTGCTCACGATATACTAAGTCTTATACTAGAATTTTTCTTGTTTACAGTGGATACTTTCATCTGATCATCGATTGATACCCCAGATTCATACCGCGAGTTCAAAAGACATACTCCGTTCAAGTGAATTAAATGTGCACCAAGTACACATCGTTCAAAGTGCCCTTAATTCAGTGAGTTGCAATGTAAAATATGAAAATTCTATACAATGATCTTAAAAATATAATTACTATTATTAAAAGAATTGTTATATTGTTTAGAGATCAGTTAACAATTGACTTAAATGAAAAAAATTCGCCCATAATATTAATTGAAGGTGGTATTGGAGAATTTCCTATACATATAAAAAATCATATTACTATCGCTGTAGGGGTTATTGAAAATATAAAACTTCCTTACTCACCTCTCACTAACCTTCCTTACTTACCTATATAGAGAGTGATCAAAAAATTCCGCACCTCCTCTATAACTCCTAGGGTTCTTACACTTTTTTGGTGGTCCCCTTAAAATTTTGGAGAGCCCCAAAAGTAATTTTCTTTAACTTGGAGGTACAAACAAAAATTCCGAGTCCCCATCTCAATTTGTTCAAAAGTCACAGGGGCGATGTCGGGTGAGAATGGTGCGAGACTTTTGGATCACCCTGTAGATGCATTTCAGAAGGAAAGCCTTCTGAAATATGGAAGACTTGACGCTGAGATCTGTTGCACGGTGAGTGCAAGAAATACAATTAGGGACTACAAATTACAGTTTAATAAAAATGTGCGTGTTTTTCACGAATTTTCTCCAACAACTTTTGCTCTTTGCTATATTGCTATTGCTATTTGCATGCGGATTGTTCAATTGCTAATTTTTTTTAAAAAAACAAAACTCCTTTCCCCCCAGCAGGCACTCATCACCTCCCCTCCTCTTGTGGTTTTTTTTCCGGGGTCGATAGAGTAGAGTTCTGTTGCTTTCCTTCCTTCTGTTTCTTCATTTCCTCGCGTTTCTCCTTTTCTTCATTTAATTTTCTCGCTTGCTCCAGGTAGTTGTCCGTGGGTTCTGGAACTTTTTCATCGGGAAAAGGCGTGACCGTCAAATTGAACGGACTCGTTAAGACGAAAAAGTTGACGGCAATCGGTTTGCCGAAGTTATATTTCTCTGCAAATCGCTGATGAGAAAATCCTGCCCTGTCCCTATCTAAACGCCTTGAATTTAAAAAAAAAAAAAATCTTTGTAATGTCAAAAATCATACCAACAAGACAAAAACTTCCATTAATGTCACTCAAAAAGGGGAAAACTAAAAATCCATTTTTATGTTCACATGTCTTTGTGAATTGTCCGCAATATGTTATTTTGTAGGTTCAAAGTCTTCAGGAAAAAGTCGATTGTCATGGCGCACAAACGTTAACTGTTGATTTGAAGACGAAAAAAATTTCGCCCAATCAGACTTTTTTTCATTCCTTGCACGCCTAGTAAATGATGTCTGAAATTATAGTTATTTGTTTTTGTTTCTATTTATCTTACTCTTTTTTTTTTAAACAACGGTTGCAGAAAATGTTCTTCTCTTTTCCCCTCTCGAATGTAGCATGCAACGCATAAGAAAGGATAACAACTGAAATTTTGCTTAAAATGCAATCCAATTCAATTTTTTTTTTTTAAACTTTTCAAGTTAAGGCAGAGAATTCCGTCCACTAATTTCCGCGAATCATTTTGCGGTGACCTTGACGACTGCTGAATGCTCACCGCTTAAACTATGGTATATTGTCGTAATATTTCTGAGAACGACTGTTGATGATAACTAATAACTCCCCTATTTTAAATTATTAATTTTATCGAAAATTCGGTAACTGGCCAGCCTTGTTTCCCGTTTTTACCCCCTTCTTTTTTCATGATATAATAAGTGGTAGAAAACTTACCCGGTTTTCATTTGATTTTCAACTATAGCTGTTCTTGATTTTTGTCTGTATATGAGGAAAACATAGCGATGCATTCCTATATTTACAGAGGAAAAACATTTTTATTACTTCGTTCTTTATCACTGTCTCTTGTATTTTAGGAGAAAAATTCACCATTTTATTAGATATGATCACGAATCTCAACATAATTATTAAGTGCATATATAATTTGAATCGAACAAATAAGTGAAAATACAGAAATAAGCAATTAAAGAAGAAATTATTTTTTGGAGGTTGTGCCCTACCCATGGTGGTAATGTAAGATAATGTAACTGTATTTATCTGTGCTAAGTCGGCAATGTAGTTCATGTAAACCCATGCGTAATCAACACTTTGAGGAGACGGGTGAAAAGACACGAAAACGGGGACCAGAGCAATGGGACCTACTTATCTACGCGCTATGATGCCCGAGAGACACTCAAACCGCTCAAGAATAGTGTTGCTTCAAGATATTTAAATAAAAAAACACATTTAAAATCCTAAATTTTCATTGACTTTTCCAAAAATTATGAAATAGCACTGCTATACAAATGTTCCAAATTATCTTCCTATAATGTAGAAGGCTAAGAACAGCTTTTGAGACGCTTCAACTCGAGTCATCTCTCTTTGAATGCATTACTTTGTCACCTATTTTACTAAACAATGCTTAGTTTCTTGACACAAATCATAACAGGGAAGAGTTTTTTTGAACGGTAATATTATAAATGGAACAGTCAAATTCAAAATCCAGATTTAGCGATCGGATCAGTATAGTTGAGTCGATGAATATACAACATTTTATATTCGTAAATAGCTTTAATTTAATTTTGAACATCCACTCAAATTAAATACTTAAAACTTACCTGTGCTCATTTTAGGCATTGGTTGAACCCACTTGGCTATTGCATCTCCTTGGAAAATGGTCAGTCCTGGTATGTTACACACCAAGTAGTAGAGCCACTCCCTGTCAGTAGGCGCTTCCTTACTTGGCTCATCTAGACCTAGAAAGAGAAGAAAAGGACACGAGGCAGAGAATAAGAAAAGAAAAAGTGAATGGAGCTGCATTAAATGGGTTAATTAAAAACTTTTATCGGAGCAGAAGGAAGAGTTGCCTCCAATAAAAAGTGGTTCAAAGATCACGACATGGAAAAGAAGAGCACGGAGATATTGGGTGATATATGAAAATGTCCAATTATTTGTGGTAGTACCCCCATTGATTTTGGTAGTACCCCCTTTAATTTTGGTAGTACTCCAATAAATTAGGTTATACTAACCCGAATGTTAATAGAATCAATAGAAGTATTCCTGTTGTTTGCTTTTGTTTGAAGAGATGTGTAACATACGAGTAACAGCTGCTTTTTTTAACTTCGCGTATGAAGTTGTGAAAACGGGGTAACTCATTTACTTAAACTTCAATGACATATACTTTCAAATATGTAGTGCAGAACTAAGAATATTCCCTACTCAGATTGTGAAATTAGAGGTGAATTTCAGACTTCTCCTATGCGCTCATAGTAATTTTTTGGTCATTTTCTCTGAGAATGAACTACTATTTAATCCGACTGAGAATATGAAACTCTTTAAACGGATGTATAATGCAGTTATCCGGGCTAGCTTACCGACCATCATCACGGTGTAGAAAGTTGAATTTTTCATTGGATACCTTATCAGATATGGGGCAGATTCGATCTCTTTCACGAGCAATATATTCCCAAAGTCTACTTCCACTTTCTCGAGAAATTTTATCTGGAGAAAATAAAAACAAAGGGATTTAATAAAAATTAAAAACAAATTTTAACCCATTTGAACATCGATCGTTTAGAGTCAAATACGTCCAGTTTTGAGCGTTTGGTTGCACGTACACAACGCCTCAGCATAGTAAAAGCACAAAATGAAAAAAATTTAAGTGCTTTGGATATCATTAAATTTGTCACGGAACCACCTTAATAATTACAAAACACACATTATATTTTCCGTTAATACATATTTTTTCCCCTATGAATTTCAATGAGAATATTCCATGCAGAGTATGCAAACATTTCAAAATCATGAGTTGAGAAACGCTGACTCCGCGAGTTTAATTATTAGAGCCTAACATAGAGCGGAGTAGCGGCGACGTGCTGTCATCGCGAAACGCGCACTGGTGGCGCCTATAAACCTAAGGGGATACTTCACGCATTGCGCAATGCTTGAAGTATCCACTTAGGTTTGTAGGCGTTGATGCGCGTTACGCGCTGGCCGGCCGGTCGGCAACCCGCAGCGTGTCACGGAGCCTCAAAAACACTCATGCACGTAGGAAAACTAATGGTACACAAGCTCTTTCTAAGCTGAGCCAGAAATTGTACTTCCAAATTTCAAAATTTAGTCCAGGAATGTAAGCACTATCGTCTTGAAGTATTCAATGACTATGAGATCCGCTCCCTAGTCGCTACGCGGCCTCCACCCCCCCCCCCCCACCCCCAAAGCCGCTTGCGGCCAGCGAAATCGTTGAAATCGCCCGTGGGCGGTTAATGAGCAAATAAATTTAATTGAATAACAAAAGGATGTTTCAAAGAAAAAATTCCCCGCCAAACAATATTCTTAATGAATTTTTCCTTACTCCGAATTTTGATTCCTTTTTTGGAATTCGACCTTTGGCCCGTCTTACTCTCCTTCCTCACCCCGTCCATCGAGCTCTTAAAAATAATTTTATTAGAATATAAAGAGGATCATATTGAAAGACACTTTCTCTTTTACTCACCTGCGCAGGATATGGCGGTGCCTCATCTATGCAATCAGGGATGATTTTATGGGCCTCGAGTTCAAATAACATTTCTCGATGAGGCTTAGGGGTTGTCCCAGTCACTTGCGTTGTCAGATCTGTTGTAAAATTTGCAGAAACAATTTCCCGTGTTATGGTCCAAATCCAAAATCCACATTGAATCCATAACTTTTGACCACTTTTTTGATACCAGTGCATTTTGACGATTGAAGGAGGTATTACACTTTTGAGAGCCTTTACAGTGAGCAAAAGTGCGGTTAAAAACTAGGTAAAAAAATATACCTTTTATCCACTGCTTCTTCTGAAAAATTGTTAAATCAGCGCGGCCGTTGGTTCTGAAGATTTAAATGTATGTAATATGATCTTTATGCATTCCATTTCCATTTCATGTATGATTACATTTCAAGATGCAATCGAAGAAACACACTATGGTGGTTTCGACGAACAAATTTATTAGATCAGGTCAAAATTGATCAGGTGCCGTAAAATCGAACACATGAACACTGGACACTGAATTTATAATGCTTATAACTATCACTTATACTTGCATGCATTTTCGCATGTCTTCAAAATCCGATGATTAGCTCTGAGGATCAATTTTGGTTTACACTGTAACTTTTGATAAGTCACACTTTAAAATCACTCTTTAATCATGCACACTTCAAGTAACCATGTCTATTCTGCGAGTTGTAATTTTTCTTCAACTCTTCATCGGTTCTTTCTCCCACGAGAAAGATCAAATTGAATCCATCATTCACTTAATACTGTAAGGAGAGGCATCTTTCTCTTCGAAAGCTTCATAACCAAATGTTGATGAGTATAATTTAGGTTACGTCTTCAGATAAGATTGATATGAAGAGAAATTATTCGTTTGACCCCTTCCCTATAATCGATTTCGTCACCTACGGACTGACATAGACGTCAACGTAAGGATTTCATTGACTTGGGTCCAAACAATAACATAACCTCTTCTGATGCTACCGCGGATGAATTGATACATTTTCCGTAGTGTGGTTAAAATTTGAAATTCAGTTCCTCCTCGTAATTAATTACGGCACCCTTCTTGTTCGACCCCACAATATGAGGGGGGTCTGTGGCATCATAAAAATGCGTCAAGAAGATAGGTTTTTAGCAAAATGAGGAAAAAACATTCATTTAAGATATTTTTGCAGTCATTCTACAATGTTAAAATTTACTGAGGCAACGCTGTCTCATTTGACTTAGTCCGACATGAGTAAGGATTGTGAACAGTTCTATTCGCGTATTACAGGTCACATCGATCTAAGTTGGAAGTAAGAGGTTCAAGGTTAATGCTAAGAATATTTTTAATAAATATGACTTTATTTATAGCTTTACAAGTAACGATTGAGGAGTTTATCCCTGGAACTCGGAGTAAAAGAAATTAACTGCGTAAGGATCTCCTAAATTATACTTCTTTGCGAAATGTCTCGTGTCCCAGTGTATGCGCCACCGGTCCTCGTAACTGTGAACAGATTTGAAATTTGCTTAAGACGATCAAGGAGGACAACAGAAAACTGTTTTCGTCGCAGAAAGTGACATTGACACCTTGTTTCTCAGGCTGATTTGACAAATTTTAGACTCAGCCAACTCCTCGTGAACTCTGATCATTATCATCACATTGTTGGAGTCATGCTGAGGACGGAGGTCGGGACACCTCCGAAACGCGTCCGCTTCAAAATTACAATTTTATGCAAGTGAGTTCTTATAAGTTTGTTTTTTAAATTTTGTTTGTTTTTCATAGTGTTAAATCTTTCAAAAAATTTAAGAAAAACGGATTTTAGATACTGAATTTTAAAAATATTATAATATTTTCTCAACTTTTGCGCATAAGTACACTAAAAATAAGTTCATTATAAAATCAAAATATATTTTAAGCGTAAAAGAAAACTCACTCTGTTTCATTGATGGCAGGTTCGTCAAAATCCAGCTTAGACGGTTGTCGGTATATACAGAGAACGTAGCGGTGTTTACCTAAGTCCGAACATACACCACAGCACATTAGCATTCAAATCAGAAAACGAGAATCACAGGGCAGAATCTGCATAGGTAGCTTAACAAGCTTAACAGTACCCTTGGTGTGCGATACCCCTTGTGATATCAAATTTCCCGTATCTTCTAATTCGAACTTTGTAAAAACATATGTATAATCACAAACGATTAGGCATGCAACTTTTACTGAAAACGTTTTTCTGTTAATCTTAACGATCATTAATTGCACACATTTTTGCTGATAGCGATTCCACAAATTGCACTATTCAATCAAATTATAATATGAGGATATATGATTTGTAAGTACTTAACACGACATGATAATTGAGTATTTCAAATACATTACATAAGGTAATTTTAAAATGGACATAGGATAGGCATTGCTGCCAATAAAATTAGAAGGAGCAACCACCGCAAAATGTAACCTCTATCATGTATACATTTGGTTATTCATACATTCTCTTCTTTTCTTCGACAGTGCTGTTAAATATTCAAATATAACTTTCTTTGTGCAATGGCAACAGAAAATGCGATAATGACTAGCTGTTTGACTTCTCTTTGGCTTCTCTACCGTCAGCGCTTGGATGCAACTATTCGTGATCCAGGGATGACCGCATTGCATACACAAGAGATTGCAGGCGTTCTGACGTACCTGATCGCAACGCATGGCTGCAAAACTACTCGCACTCAATGGATGTCCGTATTGCATGCAAAATCGCATTAACTATTACAAAACTTGGAATTTGGGCTAGCCGTTTGGAGTAATATTGCTGCAGCGTCGCCAAATGGTGCTATTTATGGAATCATTATTGCAATGAAGGATACTTGATTATGCGGAATGTTTTTCGAACAGAAAAAATTGAGACTGCGTGATTTGCAGTGCGCAAATTTTCCATTTAGGAATGAATCTAGGAAAATTTAGGAATGAATATTGTTTATATGCTCAGAGTGATTTTTGTGCGATTTTCCTTTGAAAAGTCTACTCATTGTCTTCTGACTGTGGTTTGTATGTGCAACAGACTTATTATTATATATAGTATGACATCAGAGATCCTATCTAAATATCTGCCGAGAGCCACGAGAGAAACAAAATTGAAGGTAATTTACCTGTTCCGTTCGCAGGTTTAGGAGCTAAGTATGCTACGAGACTATCGTGTGATACTTGTGAGTATCCGTGGATATTGACTTGATGCCAGAACAAGAACTCTCTTTGTTCCGGATTTATTTTGGACGGATGATCTGGGCCTGAAGGAATGATGAAGTAGTAGATGTAATGATTTACTTTGGCTCTTGAAAAGAGGAACCTGTATGATTGCGAGGTTCAAATTATTCCCTTGCTTTGACATGGCCCGATCTGCTTGTTCGTAACTGTGCCCAGTGGAGATTCTTGAATCTTGGCAACACTGTTCTTTCTACATTTAAATGTACGTAAAACAATCGATTCTTGGTATGGCAGCTCCCCTTGCCTAAAATCGATATTTTAAACGGATTATAATGGAGTAAAAACATTGTTGGAAACTTTCAAGAATCACCACTGACTGCGCCTGAAGTATTGTTTCGTGCTAAGAAAGAACGACGTCAGAGCATTCGGACTTTGCCAAATTTCTCCTCACAAAATATTGATTTTTGAGAAACTTTATTAGTATTTCATATTGAGATTTGCAGGTCCTTTAAATTAAACTGAGAATTAAAGTCACTTAAAAACTCGAAGAATAAAGTGTTCAAAAATATTCTTGAAAATTTTGTTTTCATCAAAGGGAATTTGGCAACATCTGAAGGTTCATTACGGCGTTCTTTCTTAGCAAGGCAGTATCATGCTGTGACGACATTTCCCTGTCAAGTAGAAATATCATCACGACTCAATCGCTCCTTTCTAAAAGTTCGATCTATAATGAAAAACACTTAATAATGTAGCTGACTCGAGAGAGACACTTCATTTAAAGTCACAGGGGTCATAGATTAAGGTTTATAGGACATTTCGTCAATGATTTTTTGTCCGTGCATTTGTTTTTTCTAGTAGTTTACATCCACGCGTTTTTTTTGCAGGGGAGTTTGGTTCGACTTACCAATTGAGACCCAAAGTTATTTGATACACACTTAGATTCAAATGACAATTTCTCACGCTGTTTTTGGATGAAATTGTATAATATCTTGTATATTTTTTTTTTGCAAACAGAGGAAAATATATAATTGAGATTTTTTGTGCAAATGGGGGAGCGTCAATTCCATGAGGGAAAATTCACTAAAGCTCTCTACACATCTTTAGTGCAACAGGACTTAATTATTTTTCAATAAAATTCCATCTTGTTATACCTGAACCGTATAAACCTTTTGATTTTCCTCAGCTAAAGGCTCTTAGTTTTTTTTCTGAGCAAGATGACTTCGCTACGGCGACAGCGTGCCGCGGTGCTTCGAGCCACTATTTCACCACGGAGATGGTTTAAATATTAGAGCCTAACACAGAGCGGAGCGGCGCGGCGTGCTGTCAGCGCGAAACGCGCACTGGTGGAGCCTACAAACCTGAGGGGATACTTCACGCATTGCGCAATGCTTGAGGTATCCACTTAGGTTTGTAGGCGCTGATGCGCGTTACCGCGCTGGCCGGCCGGTCGCCAACCCGCAACGTGTAACTTAGCCTCAAGCAACTATTTCACAACAGACGTGCTGCAAAGTATCATACAAAATTGCAGGTACGCCAACGTATATCATGATCGATGGCATCTTTCAAAAACACGAAGTTCCTTTGCAAATTAAATCGAGTGACAACGACAGAAAGAGAGCGGTAGTCGAAAAACTTACTAAATCCTAGAAGCTGCATTCAATAACTTTTAGCACGATTTTTAAACTTCGTTAGAGGAAAAAATGACTTGATTCAAGCAGAAATTTGTTCAAATTTACCGCAGAGAGGATTTCCTTATGAATCAATTAAGAAAATAGTGCATGTTTGAATAAGGAAAAATGCTTATATAAAATGAAAAGTCACTTACATCTAGCAGAAACCCGCTTTCATTCAGTTAGTTTATTCTTGATTCCAAATAAACTCTTCTTGACGGCATATTCATGAATGTTTCTGCCTATATCGAGTCACATTTGGACTGCTCTGCTCTTTTTTTGTGCCTTAGTATGTTGATTTATTTTGCAAGGAAAGCTTCGCACTCTTAAAATATGCCTGTCATCCTTAATATGTTAGAGTATCTCCAATTTCGTATGATACTTTGCAACATTTCTGTTGTGAAATAGTTGCTTGAGGCTCCGTGACACGCTGCGGGTTGGCGACCGGCCGGCCAGCGCGTATCGCGCATCAGCGCCTACAAACCTAAGTGGATACTTCAAGCATTGCGCATTGCGTGAAGTATCCCCTTAGGTTTGTAGGCTCCACCAGTGCGCGTTCCGTGCTGACAGCACGCCGCGCCGCGCCGCTCCGCTCTGTGTTATGCTCTAATATTTAAACTCGCAGAGTCAGCGTTTCTCAACTCATGATTTTGAAATGTTTGCACACTCTTCATGTCATATTCTCATTGAAATTCATGGGAGAAAAAATATGTATTTACGGAAAATATAATGTGTGTTTTGTAATTATTAAGGTGGTTCCAAATTGGTGACAAATTTAATGATATCCAAAGCACTTAAATTTTTTTCATTTTGTGCTTTTACTATGCTGAAACGTGGTGTACGCGCAACCAAACACTCAAAATAAGACGTATTTGACTCTAAAAGATCGATGTTCAAATGGGTTAAAATTTGTTTTTAATTTTTATTAAATCCCTTTGTTTTTATTTTCTCCAGATAAAATTTCTCGAGAAAGTGGAAGTAGACTTCGGGAATATATTGCTCGTGAAAGAGATCAAATTTGCCCCATATCTGATAAGGTATCCAATGAAAAAATTATATTCAATTATCTTTGAAACTTACTCTAAAGTACTTATAGCACATTTACAGTCGCACAGACTTATGAATCATATCCGAAAATTGGCATCATTTGTTGCCAGGGGGAACGAAATAATTTCTAGGGGCACACGGCTGAAAAATCTACGTTATCTAGATTATCTGTGTCGGAAAAACAAGGAGCCTTACCTGTGAAAAGCAGAGTAAAATAATGATCTTCACTACTGGTTGGCTTGAGGTTGTTGTCTGCCCATGTCACTGACTGTGGTGGTTCTGTAATTTCTTTCGGTGAAAGTTTGTTACCTAGTTTTGCTTCAGCACCACCAGGCCATGTTATCTAAAACACAGCATCTGCGAATGAGAAGTACGACCTGATAAAGATCTTAATGTCTTCGACGAGCTATTATTATTACTTGGATTAAGTATAAAAATAATGTATATGATGAAAATTAAAACCACCTAGAATGGAATATCAAATGCCATGGTTATGTCAGGAAATAAGCTCGCTCCACAATGCTCAAAAAAATTATGAAATAAAAGAACACTGTCAAACACGAATGTATCACTACGAAATGAGAAAGAATAAGTTGGTGTAATCAACATTTAACCTGTACGGGGTTTCTTGTTGACTTTCTAAATTAAAAAAATCCCATTTTTAACTCCCTCTCCTCCACCAAATGCTTTTGATAAAATGAATTTGCGCTCTGATGTGAGTCCCCGAATGCTCTGAGCCGCGTGATTTAGGTATAGGGGATGGCGGATGATTTCCCGGCCGCTACGCGGCTCAACCCCGCGAGAGCACTTTGCACCCTTTAAGACCAACCTTGCAGGCCCCCTGTGAGTTCATTTACTAAATAGAGTGGAAAAATCATGGAAATCGGCCCAGTAGATCTGTAGAACGAACCGTGACTAAGAATAAACATATATATTGTTTCGACAAGAGGAGTGACAACTCATCAGTTATATACAAAACTTGGTCATATTTCCAAAATCTGAATAAGGGGTTTCACTCAGCGACTATCAGCCGTCGATAGCCGTAAATCATGGAAATCGGTCTAGTAAAATGATAGAACGAATTGTGACAAAAATTGCTAATTTAAGGGGTTAGAAAGCTAATTGTAATATGATTCAGCAATACATTTAATTCGTGGAAAATTCCTTTAAAAATTTCTAAAATTTTTCGTTCACTAAATCCGTCTCGCTCTCACGAGCATAAAATACTGTGCCCACCGGTAGATAACGTTTTATTCAGCGGCACTGTTTCGATATACAACTATACTCAGCAGCATGTATTGATAAATAATGTCAACCACATTATTTTGATAAATTCGGTACTCACATTGACAGTAATATTAGGAGCTCGATCTAACATATCCGGAATTATTTTGGAGAGGTAAAGGGCAGTGACGATCTCACCAGGCCCAGGTGTGTTCATCCCTGCTTGTGCTTCCAAAGCTTCCTTTGTCTTCTCGTCCAGTTCCTCTTCGTCAGATGAAGGAGAGCTAGACTTCACTAACACTGTAATATTTTGAATTATGATTAACAAGTAAGACAAATAAACAAGAGATCTTAAATTTAAAGCTGCCATGACGCGAAAATGTTAAATGGGGAAATTAAAAGTTTAAGTCTGCTTTCAAACCTCGAGACTAGTGTCCGATACGTAAACTTAGATACCTAATCCAATAAATAGAAAAATAAGAAGATCCACATTTTTCACAACCTCCCTCGCAACTTTCTCCTAGTGATATGAATTTGTTTTAAAAGAGCCATTTCGTTCTTACTTGTGATAACAGTTAACTTATAGTTAAGCATTGATAATCAATGACCCAAATCCTCCATAACTTCTTGTCAGATTGAATAAAATCCGATTACATACCATGATAAGCTGCCTAAGGCGCAGTTCCTTCGGTATGGGTGCAAGCATGCGAGCGTAGTGAAGTTGTAGAGGTTGCAAAGACTGCCATGTTAGAAGTTTTATTTCAAGTGCTCTTATGCACTCTTATGAACAGAGAACATCAAAGTTTAGTGTAATGGATACTAATTTGAAATCAAAAGCTGATGATAATTTAGTAAGCGAAAGATCCCTGCGGCGATGCACGTGCGGTAGTCCTCGATACGACTTTCATCAGAATGTTTCGAAGTCCATGAACATGGTATCTACGACTCCTCGGATTTAGAGATTTATAAAGTTTGTTTCTGACTTGAACCCACCACGTTTCACAATGAATTTGATAAAAGGTAAGCTGAGAATCTTACCTAAACTAGCAAAATTTGTTCTATTGAGGGGGAAATTAAGTTTTGTACTTTTAAGTGGACATAAGTGATCTTTGTCTATCGAAAGCGGGTACACTTTATCTCCATTCCCCAAATAGAAATAAATGTATCTAACTCAAGATCGATACTTTAGCGCTATTGGAGAGACCGCACGTCGGCTGGTTTGACTGGTAAATCACAAACTCAAAACTTGTCGAGACGATGTAAATTTCAACAATCAGGCTGCAGTTGGAATGGCCATATCAGATAGGCTGTTTAGTCATGATGTTGAACACGATGTCATTTTCACCTTCGAAAATTTGACGCACTCTATTATTACGGACCCGATCTCTACCTGTCGTTCTCCTCCAGAGATCCATCTCAGTTGCTCTAAACATATATTTTGTGCCCATTTTTTTCAGCTGTCAAACTTAAAATTCATATTTCAAAATACTGAAGCTTGAAAATTTGGTACCATAAATTATCAAAGATTTCTTCTTTCCCTCTGCAAATACGACAGATGACGTTGTCTTTGATTATATAATTATATTATCTTTTTTAAATGTGTTTAAATTTTTATAGACTTCAATTCAAGATCCGGTCATCCAGTGTCCAGAAATAAGTTGCACCTTCAAATCTCGTTGCATAAATGTTTGGTTTTACTATGTATCAACTTCGTCCGAACCTCGGCGGAGGATGGACATCCTGAGGTACAGCACCCTGATCAGGAGGTGAAAATTGGGAACTACTCTCTCCAAGACACATTTCTCCAAGAAAAAAAACTGACACCTGACGAGTTCCAAAAAATTCTTTCTGATCATAAAATCATCCCAGATTGCATTGATACGTCTCCAAACCAAACAGTCCAGGTATTTTTGTTTTCTCCTCTCTTTCATAAAGTTCTTAACTAACAAAAAACGAAGAAAAACTACTGTTGAGTACCTGGTTGGAATCCTTAAATGGACCGCGTTTAACAGAAAGGAACCAAGCTACATAAGCTATTGCTAAATTTAACTGGACAGTTTAATTTTTTACAAGAGAACGTTTCTGTGGATTCCTTTGAAAATTTTAAGGAATTTGCTTCGTACTATCGAGAAAATTTTCTGAAATTTGCACAAAAATCCGCACAACCGTTTTCATGTAAAAAATTGAATTGCCAAATTAAATGTGGCAACAGCTGACGTGGCTTGGTTCCTTTCTGTTTAACGCGGTCCAAATATCAGTGGCGTGGCGTGCTTTGCGATGTATCAGTTAATCTGCCATTAAAATATATCGACGGCGTAAGTCTGCTACCACGAGTCTCGTTTGCGGTGTTTAAAATCTCCGCCACTATCTCATTTTTTTAAAGGAGAACAAATTGACATCATTCCCTGAAGTTTTTGCAGAATTTTCTTCGCGCAGAGAGGAAAAATCACGGCAGTTTTAAAGAATTGCCGTTGATTAGACTTCCATTTAAAAAATTAAGTATGACTCGAAGTCTGCGACGTCACACACCGAGATAGTTGCGGACTTACACCGTCGATATGGAAAAGGATTAATAAACAGGGTGTTCGTAACGAACACTTTAATAATCGATTCTGTACCTTTGCTTCAAATGAGGAAATATCGATAATGAATCATTTAAAGCAGCAGCAGCAGTTAAAAATGCGATTCGGATCGCAAATCATATTCTAGTTATGCTGCATGTAGAATACATACAATTTAGATTACCTATATGAATGCATATTTTCGTTTATTTTTCATTTTCAGATTCAATTCTTTTATGGATACATTGTAAAATTAGGAAATCTGATTCCACCAGAAAACATAACGGACCATTCGCCGCATTTCGTAAAATGGCCGGGGACGTTCAAAGACTTTTTCACTTTGATAATGGTAGGTGAGTATTCTTAGAGCAAAGCTCTTTTTTCAATGAAATTTATTTTTTATTTTTTCTGACGTAGATGACTTTTGTAATTTACTCACGTATAATTTACCTAATTTTCCTAAATCTTGCTGCCTCAATACTGGGTCTGGCCAACCAGCTTTTGGCGACGGTTATCACATGATCAGGAACACCGATTTCAAAATGCGAGTAGTATATGCGGAATAGATCCTAAAATTATCTGAAACCGAATCAAAACCCTAACCATGAGTTTGAAATCCTAGAGTCCGGATTTACTATCTATGTAGACAGAAATAATTGATGCATTAAAAACTCCTAAGTATTAGTATTTAAGAGTTTGCATCAAAATAAATTAAAGTATAAAATGTCCGTGCTTCCTGCGACAAAATCGTAAGCCATATTCTAAGCTAAAACAGTGGCACTTTTTACGCGACACATACATACATGAGTCGCTTTTGTAGCGCTCTCTGGCGCTTTGCGACGCCTAATCGCCACAAAACTCGGTCTTCCCACAGGCCATCTAGGAGTTGACACTCCCTCATCTTCGTATGAGGGACTGTTGTCACAGGGTTAGCAATCCCGCGGACTCCAGCTAGTAGCCCCTGCCTTAGAGAGGGTAGTGGAGATGGTCACCGGCATCTGGGCGTATGAACCACCCGTTAATAGGACAGGCAGGCTGCAGGGCTCTGAGCTGAAGTGAAAGCAACCTGTCTAGGAGAGGCAACTCCGGAATCAAACCCTGGTCCTCCAGGTTGGGGGCTGAGTCATCGAGCTGACTCCCCGGTACTTGTAAAATGTCTTACTGTCAAAAGACCTAACTCTTTACGCGATATCTATGTTATTTGCATTCATGAAACAATATTGATGTTGCTTATGTAGCTCGAGAATAATCAGGTATATTGCTGAAGCTGCGGTTTTCAAATTTTGGTAGGATTCGAATTTTTTTTCAATTGAATCAGCTATTACAGAAAGGGCACAATCGACATTTTTTTCGAAATTGAGTTTTTTGCGGTTTTCGCATTAGTGTATGTAGACACACCCTGTAGTGCAGACAGGGCACTATATTCGCATTTTTTATGTGTTTTTGACAGGGGTTATGTTTCTCACGTAGAGCAGAAAGGGCACTGTTGCAGCAATATAGTGCCGTTTCTGCAGTACATGCCCACTGCAGGGTGCGCGCGCATTGGCAGCGGCAACTCGTCGTTTGTTTTGTTTTGATACGATTGAGAGGTTAGTTTTGCGTTTCAAAACGACAGTGATCACGCTACACGCTTCACTCACGCTGAAAATGAAAGGAGTGAGAATTGAACCTTGAGTGTAGGAAATGAGAGGAGCCCTTAACAGGTTGGATGAGGAAGTAGGTAGAAGATTACTACGCTGTTGAACCTCAAAGGATACATTTTTTTTTTTTTTTTTTTTTTTTTTTTTTTTTTTTTTTTTTTTTTTAATTTCTTGACTTGAAATAAGCCAGAAATATTTTTAAAATTTACATAGCTACGGGCAAACCACAATCCACACGGTGAAAGTTCGAAATCGCATACCATCAATTGCGACATTGCCAATTTTATTTCGTCTTCTTTTTTTGCTCTTAAGTATTCTCTATTAAAATTTTGTGTAAACTTTCTTCACACCATCAAGATTGTTTTCGGAAAATTTCATGGGAAAATCTCTATTAGTTCTCTTTAAAAAAATAGTATAAAAAGAGAGCAGAAATTTTGAAACGTTGCAATGGAGATGTACAATTTCCAACTTTCGCTATAGACATGCATCATTGCCATACATTTGAGATGAAAAACAAGGGCTAAAATAATTTTCTGGCTTCATTCTATCACTCTTTATGGCTCCTTCCCCCATGTATTTCAGAAAGGGCACTAATGATCTTCCTTCAAGTGTCATTATTTACAACCCAGAAAGAGTATAATGTAAAAATTTTTTATGGAAATTGTCAGTCTACTTGGGGGACAAAAGAAAACATCGAAAATTTTTTTTCCAAAAGCTTATAGTTTACTCAAATCAGTTTTTTGCATTTTCTGAACAGTTAACATTTCTGCAATAGTGCCCTTTCTGCAATATGTGATTCAATTTCGGTTGGAGTTTAAGTTTTTTAGATACCACCGGATACAAATTAGAATCTGCATTACGATTTGATTTCATTTTCCTCAATGATTTTAAGTATCACCTCGACCACTAATGCGTCTCACAAAATTTATATAGTAATTATTTTTAATGTAATAGATCTAGACGAGCCCTCTCGATCAGATCCTGATAAGCGTGAATGGCTTCACTGGATGATAGTCAACATTCCAGGATGGACGAGGTACTTAGGTGAACTCAAATGTAGATACGTCCCTCCTCAACCAAAAGCAGAAAGTGGTAAGTGAGCAGTTCTCATTATCACTGTCGGAAAACGTGGAAGTTTTTCGGCTTTTCTTTAAAAAGTTAAGTAAAGTAGTAATCAACTCAAAACGACCCTGTATTTTTTTGTATGATATCTTCTGCATTTTGAAGCAGCCTTTCCAATAGGCGGATCTAGATACTTCGAATGGAGTGGGGCGGAAGGGGGTCCAGAGGACTTCCTTCAGAAAATTTTTGAAATTCGAGAGCATTTAATATGCAGTTTCAGCCGCAATTTCGCCATGAATCACCAAATATGAGCTTTATACCTTCTTTCTTTCTTTCTTTCTTCTCTTTTTCTTACCCCTTTTTTCGGTCGAACGGGAAAGCGAACACCCCCTACGCCCCCCTCCTTGAATCCGCCTAGGGAAAGATGTTAGTGGATTAAATTGTTATTTTTTCTAGCAGATACCCATTTCTTTGTCAAAAATCATTTTATATGTCCACATACCCCCATAAAATTGTTCTAAGTGAGCTCAACTGATCCTCAACAGGAACAGTTGAGGCACTAATGAGTAGCTCAACTGTTCCTTTCGTGGATCTTCATAACCTTTTGCGTTGTCAGAGAGCAAAAATCTCATAAGAATGAGAGTACTAACTACTTCAGATTTAAATGCTTGATCAAATCAATGGTCGATCCCTGCAAGTCATATTTAATCATCATTTATTTTCTACCTTTCATTTCTGGTCAATCTGTTAATTTTGCGAGCTTCCACGACCACTTGTACAAAAATTGACTGATTTTGCTCTACCTTTGCATAGGGATACACAGATACGTGTTTATTGTATACAAGCAACCGGAGAAGCTAAATTTTACTGGTTTGAAGCTGATTAATGAGACAAAGTAAGTCGATGGTTTAAAATTGTCTCCTTATGCAAAATGAGAGTGCTTACACCGCTGGTCTATTGTGAATCGGACCAATTTTATTTATCTAGAGTCAGTCTGACTACATAATAGGTTGCCTAATTTGTGTTCTTTTTTCATTATTTTCATCAATAACTAAGCAAAAATTACGTCTAAATTCAACGAGAATAATGATAAAAGTGCAAAGAAAACTCACGAAATATTTCAAAGTTTGCCGTCCGGTCCTTTTTAAATAAAAATAAAATACAAGAGAAACCGATGTTACAGTTAGGCTGCCACTGGTGAATGCGTAAAATTTAGTCTCTCAAAAAAAATGAAGGATAGTTAAGATAAAAAGGTATTTGGTGAGTAGTAAAAGGAACAAAAAAGCATTTCATCTCTAGCAGTGACTTTTGTTTGAAGAACAAAATTCTAATATTATCTAATATAATAGTTAGTAAATTAATATTTTCCAGCTTAGCCAGGGCAATTACTTATTTTAATTTTAAAGTCTATGGATGGTTTCGTGCATTTATTTATTTAATTTTTGGGTGTTAATTCATTACAAACTATCATCGCTAGTTCATTAAAGCTTTTAATGGTTCATCAAAAATATCATTGTTTTATTTTAGGCACAGTGACCTCAGGAGAGGACACTTTTCAAATCGCCAGTTTTCAAAGGAGTACGGACTAGGTGATCCTTGGGCTATTAATTTCTTTCAAGCCAAAGAGTACGTTCCACCCAAAGATGGAAAGGCTCAAGAAGCGGGTAGGCAATTACCCTTCACAATTGCCGTAGCGGGCCCTGGAAGAGGTCCTTATGCCAGAATTTGGGGTTCGAGTTTGGCCCCTTTCTAATAATTCACTACAAACCCGCTAGTTTCATGCTTAGGCCGCCTGTATGTATGTTGTAACTGCTGACTATATACCTCGACACTGAAAAAAAATCTTAAATTTTCCGCCAAGGTATTTTTTTCCTGGAATCAAGAATGATGATGCTTAATTATTTCAGCCACTGTTTTATTAAACCAAGCACGTTTTGTCTTATTCATGGAAGAATTCAGCTTGAATAAGTAGGGGGAAAAAAATCTTAGCTGCAATCTCAAGAATCATCATGCTCAGGAGCCAAGCACTCTTTTTTCAGTGGATTCGTAATTGTGGCTTACTGCTCATTATGCGTAAAGTATGTTAAATCATCAAAAGAGGGTTAAAATTGGATGCACATATACGAGAGATAAGTCCATCTGTGAAAAAACTCAATTTCTGTTTATTTACTGTGTTTTAATTTAATTAATACGGCATTATCGTGTGTATTTTAATTACTTACTAATAGATGCTACATTGTTCAGAAAGTGGTAAATTGATGGCTGATAGTACTTATGGATTTTATCTGTTTAGTAATTTCATCCTTTATATAAAATGTTCATGTACAATAAATATAATCCGAGTACTTTATGAATTTAGAGGCCTCACGCATCAATTTTCATTTTAGTATATGCTAGCATTAGAGAGAATAAAAGATTAACTTCACCATTTTTAAATGTTGGGCCTAATATTTGAAGTCGAACATTTTGAGGCAGGATGACTTTCATCGAGATCTGAAAAGCCCTATTATGAGTCTAAACTTTGCTCCAAACCGAAAACAGAAAGTCAAAGGTGAGACATACTGAAGACTCGCCGACCCTTGCTGCTCGCATTAAGACACGGCGAGACCTTTTAATAAAACTTTTGTCATCTGTTTTTGTTGGATGTGCAGTTTATACCCACGTGAAAATGTATCCAAAGATTTCACACGTACACGGGAATTTTCTTGATATAGGTATTCATGATTAATTATATATGGGTTTGTGTTGGTAGCCGAGTGCTAGGAATAATGCAAAAAAATGTTTTCAAAAAAAACACTTACATTTTATTAATAAAGTACCGAAGCTTTTCGAGGCGGACGCCTCATCGTCAGGGTAACAACAAAATTAATATCACAAAGGCCGTTGCCATACTTTAAAATTTCAAAACTAGGTAACAAGTGATAACAAGTAATTAGATCAGTCTTACTAATCAAAACAAAGTCAAGTATTATCAAGTTAGTATCTGTTTCTCATCATAGATGGCAGCACATTTTAGGTACAGGGGATTAGTTGCCAGGTCTACTTCTTTTTGTACATTTAATAATTCTTCCCCTCTTTTTACTGCCTTAGTTATTTCATATTTCTCTAGGATGCTAAGCATTTTACTGTCCCTGTTTTTGTGTAGAATTTTAATTTCTTTTATCTGATGTTTTTCTGTTTTGATGTGTTTAAATACATTCGAGGATGGAAGAGTCAAGTGTTCATTAACTCTACAGTTGATTGAGCGCTCAGTTTTTCCAATATATATTTTCTTGCATGAATTACAATCTAAACGGTAAACGCCAGTTATTTTCTTACTATTATCACTATTGCTATTACCTTTTTTGATTTTGTTGGTGACCTTCCTTATATTGTCTAGTACGCTGTTATTAGTCTTAAAAGCCGCTTTGTACTCAGTTTTTTTGAAACAATTGCCAATTTTTGAGCTAACAGGGCCAAAATAATCAATTTTTACATATTTGTCATTATTTTTGGGTTTTTTAGTCTCATTGCTGTTGGCATTAGAGTGCTGTTTTTTATGTCTCCTTAAAATTTTGTTGACAATATATTTGGGGAATCCATTAATTTTAGCAATATTCTGGATAATTCCAATTTCTTCTTGTCTATGTTTGCGGCTAAGAGGAATGGAAAACACTCTATGTGCCATTGCATGAATTGCAGCGTGTTTATGGCTATTAGGGTTATTAGAATGGAATGGAATTATACTATTAGTGGCTGTAGGTTTACGAAATATTTTGAATTGGATGAGGTTATTCTTGTCGACAATTACAGTAAGATCTAAGAAATTAATTTGGTTATTACTCATATGTTCTATGGTGAATTGAATGTGTTTTGAGAGGCTATTTAGGTATTTTAAGAATTGGTTTATGATCCGGTCAGTCCCAACAAAAACAAAAAAGGTGTCATCAACATATCTGTAATATTTTTTGATGTTTTTAAAGAAAGGATTGTTATCGTTCATAATGTTCATTTCTTCAAAATTATTTAAGAACACTTGTGCAATAGTACCAGAAATTGGTAGGCCCATGGCAACACCATTTTCTGCTTGGAAAGTTCTACCCTTATAAGTGAAATAGTTTTGATTGAGGATTTCTCTTGTCATCCCAACAAGTTCTTCCCTCTCATGATCGTTGATTTTTCCAGATTCTTGAATTTTTTGGTCTAAAATTTGAATAGCTTCATCAGTGGGAATGTTAGCATATAGATTAACTATGTCTAATGAAAACACTTTCTGTCCTTTTTCGACTTTGAATTTATGCATCTTTTTTGCAAAGTGTGCACTGTTTTTAACACTATAGCTATTATTTAAGTCTAATACATTTGTTATTATTTTGCTCAGATGTTTTGATAGTTTATATAATAATTTTTAATAAAATTGATAATTTTTTTTAAGCAATTAAATAAAATTCAAAGTCAAATTTATTTGATTCTTCCTCCTCCTCTTCTTCTCCCGAAATGTATCCGTCGTCCGATTCTTCTTCTTCTTCTTCTTCTTCTTCTTCTTCTTCTTCTTCTTCTTCTCTTCCTCTTTCTTCGTCATACACAGAAAAAATACCCTCGTCTAGTGTATAAACGAAATGAGTCAAAAAGCTATGAATAAATTTAAAGCTCTCTCTTAATTCCTCCTCCTCAGACTCGTAATCAATCTCGTATATATCAAACAGCCAGTTAACATAGTCCTTCTCGGGCTGCGTTGAGAATCGGCCAGCGTAAGTTATAACTTCGAATTCATCTACCAGTTTTTCAGGTTCAAGATTGTTCTTCCGAAAAAATAAGTTTTCAAATCTTTCGGCCAGGACCGTTCCTGCTAACCAGCTCATGGCCTGAAAATAAGGAGGAAGAAAAGAAGTATAAGAAGCGCTGTCTTTTCAGACTCTAGAATTCATTTTACCATTATGATCTACTATTTTGGGTCTCAACCCTAAAAACACGTATCTGCGGCGGTAATTGATTGCATGTAAGTTGTTTCTAGTGAGACAGAAGTAGTAGATCATAATTGCAAAGTGAAATCGTGTACTAATATTCGAAATTTCTGAGGATTTCTTCATCTCGGGTGAGATTGTACACGAAGCAACCTTCATGACAATCTCTAACCTCCCTCCATAACTGATGAGCCAATTCGCAAGGTCCAAAATTTTTACAAAAATGCACGTGATTTTTTCCATCACATGTTTCCTCGTGATCCTCTGGCTCACAGAGATCGCCAAGAAACATGGGACATTCTGCAGTACAGGGCCTTAATTGCTGAGTCCGCTCGTACATTCGCGGCATGGGATTGCACGTATAATGCACGATTCCGTTGCATTTTTCCCAATACAGATAAAAATTATTATATCTTGTTTTAAATTTCAGACAATCAAAGCAACAAGGTTGATCTCGCACAATCTCGTCATTTTTGTAAAAATTATGGACCCATCCATTGCACTCATCCGTATCGAACTCATTGGAAAGAACAGCTACAGTTCTGTCTGAAGAAGAAGGAGAAGAGGCGGAGCTAGAAGGTTTCGAGTCATTCCTCAGAGACGCCTCGTCCGCGATTCCTTCAGCGGCCATGAACACAGGACAGAACGATGAACACCTGAACATCTCAGTCCCCCTCTCGAATGGCTGCGGGTCTTTGTTGTAAAAGAAGTGCCATTCGCCATCACACTCCTCAGAGTATTTTTCTCGAAATGATTCTGGCGTGTTGGGAGGAGAGGGGGAGCGTTCGAGTTGTTCATCGCTCGGCTCTGATTCATCGTCGATGAAGGAATCGCTGGACGCCTCCTGTGATAGAGAGCTCCCCGCGTCGCCCTCTATCCCGTTAACTCATTAAAGGGCACCAAGCACGGTTCATCTGCCCGCCGTATTGACAGCCCGAATTCATTATCTCATTTTCTCCCTCACACCCCTGTAACTGCGCAGGCAGATCAACCCTCGGGCGCCCACTATAAAACACCGATTAGCGGCTGCTCCGATCACAGTTTACAGTTCGCAGTTCAGATTTTAACCCTTAGATACTTTAGAGTTTCACCCCGACGCTAGTCGTCACCTTCGTTCAACCACGTACGGTTCTCTTCCTCTCACACGGTGAGTCCATACCCTTGCACGGCAAGACACCCAGTACTCGGTACTATATTTAGCGTACGGCGCTCAACCGCTAAGAGTGTGTGTGCTACCTAGTAGCCTTCATTTGTAGCTCCTTCATTATAGTTCTTCATTGTAGTTTCCTCATTCTGTAGTTCTCTCATTTTGTAGTTCCTTCACTTGTAGTTCTCTTGTAGCTTTATCATTATATTTTAGCCCCCTATCTCTTGCGTTTTCCTTTAGTTTTCCTCACTCCCGTGAGAAGGTGGTTGCTGATCTTGGATTAGCCCAGATCAGCTCCCAACATTGGTGGAGGCGCCTTAAAAATCCCCATGGTACAAATAAAAATTGTTTAAATTTCAAAAAAAAAAAAAAAAAAAAATAATTTTGTAAAAAATTTGTTTGAAAAATTTAAATTCACTCTGATTCGCTTGATCTTCCTTTTATTCCAAAATAATTTTATTAGTTCTTGTGGTTTTTTTTTTCTCTCCTCAAATTATTTCTCAACTCAAACGTGATATTTGTTGGGAAGCGATCTTCACGACCGAAGTTTCGGTTAATAGATATACTTCACGACCAGACTTGGTTAATGGTGAGCTTGAAAGCAGTCTTCACGACCGAATCACCGGTTAATAGATATACTTCACGACCAATTGGTTAATGGTGCGCTTGAGAGCCGTCTTCACGACCGAATTTTACCGGTTAATAGATATACCTCACGACCAAATTGGTTAATAGTCCGCTTGATAGCCGTCTTCAGGACCGAAGTTTCGGTTAACAGATATACCTCACGACCACAGCTGGTTAATAGTCAGTTTTCCAACAATTTTCATGACCGAGTTTTTCATTAGAATATGAAATAATTCAAAAGCCACACGACCTACGATTCCAATTAATAAACGCTAAGTTAAGCGACCAAGCTAATGTCAGAACCAAGAACTTTAGAGCCTTCAGACGTTGAAGATTGGCTTGAATCAATATTTCCAACTGCTCAATCTTTAGAAATTACTTCTAGTGTATTATTCTGCCCTGTCACAAGAGATGCAGAAACTCAAACTGAATTGAAACTAGAAAGTGTAAGCATTAAAACCAAATTTAATTGTGAACTGAAAAAAGATGCAGTAACTCAAACTGAAAAAATTAAGAAAAATATAGCTAATGTAAATTCATCTCACAAGTTCTTGAATTCTAAGCAGAAAAGATTAAATAAGAAAACTAGAGATATGATAAAAAATTTATCTAGAGTTTACACAAAAAAAAATTAATCCTGTAAATTGCATGCAAACTTTTCAAAAATGATTGTATTCTTTTCTTTCTTGTAGTCTTTGATCAAGTGTGATTTCCGTGGTGTGGGAGCTTGTAGTATTAAAATTGTGAAAATTTCTTTTTTTTCCCTCTCTTCGCTTTGTGATTTGGACCAATCAAACAAAGTCATGGCACCAGTAACCAACCCATTTTTAATAACTTTAGCTTTTGAAACAGAAATCATAAAAATCAAGGCTGAGCATTTTCTGGGATTATTAAGAGAGGAAGTTCCGACAGTGCTAGCAAATGTTAAAACAATTAGTATTCAGACATTATTAGAACACTTGACCAAACTTCCATCACAAAAAATAATAGAATATCTAAAATTAAAATTGAACTTAGACCTTCCATCGGGGAAAATCGTCTTTAGTAGCTCGGATTTAGAAAAAGAAATCCCCATAACACCTACGCAACATGATCAAGTGAAAACCGAAATAGAATATGACGATAAAGGTAGATACAAGAACGTACAAAAATTCAATAAGGCGCGTTTAATCTATGAATTTGGGAAAAGGCATATTCCCTATAATTACGCATCAACTAGTTTTGCTAAAAAGGATTTGATCAATATTTTAAACGAAGAATATGAAAAATTACAGATACCTCCTTTAAATTCCTCAAGAGATGAGGATAATGAAACAAATAGAGAGGAACAACGGTCCCCATCCTTACACTCTGTAGGCTCAGACAATAGTCAGAACGGAAGTACTAAAAGTTTCACAGGTTTTAACGAGAGAGAACGTTCTAAAAGCCCCAATTCACAATTCAAAGATTCAATGTTTGTTACTTTCAAACCAAATAAAAATTCAAAAACACATTCCACGCGAACCCAAAATACACATGACCCTTCAAAAAATGATCAAAAGTTAACAACACACTTCATAAACAATATTCAAAATCCCACTCAAATGTTGCAGGTTAAAAGTACATC